TAATGCAGCTTACTTTACTAATTACAAAACAAATATTTTATTGAAGTGTAATTATGTATGATATATTCACATTTCATGTATTATTGGTAGCCTTAGATTTAGTGTCCATATTTAGTGTCATGATAATATTTCAAATAATATTGCTTCCAATACAATTAAAAAAGAAATAGTTTCACAGTAAATTCAGAGTTGTGGCCAGAAAGGGTGTCAATAAGTAATTTAAGCAAATAAAACCAAACGCATATACACACACACAGATATATATATATATATATATATATTTAAAATTATACCGAGAATTTGTGTCACCTACCCTTTGTAGTTTGTTTTAAAAGGTAAGATCATATTATGATTTCAAAATTTGAAACAACATCGTCTCTTCCTCTCCCTTTTCCAACTATAACATATCATCATCACTGATTACTAAAAAAAAAAAAAGATCATCATCACTATAACAGACCACATGATGATCTTTTGAATTCAAAGTGCTGTGTTTTTTTCCCCCTCTAAACTTAATCTCCCTTCCTAGCTTGCATCATGCCTCCTTCACAAAAAGACAAATTTATTCATATTTTAAATTTTTTTTACATGTCATTTTTTATGAAACCAAAATAAATATTTTATATATAATTTACATTTTTATGAAGAACAAATAATGAATGCCCATATAATTTTTAAAATATTATTAATTTTATAAAGATAATTAAATCAGAAATTTTACATGAATTTATTTTAGGGTTAATGAGCATCCTAAATTCCAAACTATTATATGAATAGCATTTTAGATCTTAAACTTTTAAAATGTGTAAAAACTTTCCTTGAGTTCTAAATTATGAGAGTCTGAAACCTTGTCGTTAAGTTAGACAAAATGACCGTTAAGTGTCAAATCAGTATATGACTGGCCCCTACAACTACAAAAGTAATTGTTGGGGTTAAAAATGCTGGGAATTTAGAAATTGAAGGAAGTTCTCCAACTCAATAGTAAGATTTTAGGCGTTCGAAATTTAAAAATTGAGATAAATTTTTAGATATTTTAGAAGTTCAGCGTTTAGATGCTATTTGCATAATAATTTAAAATTTAAAATGTTCATTAACCCTTTAATTTATAAAAAATTATGGACTAAAATCTTCATTTGATGTGCATTTGACTATAAATATATGAAATTTTCACACACACACACATACATATTGTTCTATTAACTTCTTACTTAAAAACGCATTTAATTCTTTTCCCTTGTTATAAAAAAATAAAAACGTATTTAAGTTTTTGAAAAGTCAGTTTTTTGGAGTTAACTTTAATGACCTGAATCATGAATATGTTAATTACTACCATAAAAAAATTATGTTTACAATATAATAAATTTATGTGCACATAAAATTTAGAAGAAGGAAGATTCGTTTGAGTTTGAAGATGAAGACAATAGGAAAAACAGAACAAACATACCAATAAGGAAGTTAATATTAACATAACGACTACTCCCTAAAGTGTTTTCCTCGTATTTTGTTAACAAAATAATAAAACAGAGGCTGTATGGATCAAGAGAAGTCGATAGGTTGCAACTTTTGAGTCAGGCCTGTTTACTGGGCCTGGCCGTTTCATATACAAAACCTAGGCCCATCAATTGCAGAACTAATCTTGACGGGTCTGGGCCCAGTAAAAATTCAGGCCAAATATTTTACCCTTATCATGAGACCAGACTCACGCTCGTGCACAAGTTTAGCCTTTTAGGTGGTAATTATTGGAAACAAAATTAAAGAAAAAGGTCATCCCATCTTCTAGAACCTTTAATACAAGTCCAGCGAGAGAGCCTCTTAGATCCTGTATGTTTTTTAAGACTGAGCTTGAAAAAATGAGAGATTTTTGCATAAAAAGGTTTTTAGACCTAATCCTTATAAGTCCTTTAAAAATAAGAATTGGCTCACCTTAATCCTTCTGAGCCTTCCTTCCTCTTCTTCTTCTTCTTCTTTGTTCCAGTCATCACCTTTTAAGGTCACTTGTCATTGTCCTTTAGACATTTAATTCAGGTCTTTTAGAGATTATATATGTATTATCATGATTAGAAATTTAAATTAAGAAAATAAAAATATTATACCATCATTCAGGTTTAACTCTAAGTATGCTCATTAGGTTCAGATTTGAGAAAAATATTAATTTTGTGATATGTGGGCTTATGGATGAGTCATGAAAGAGAGATCTTTGCACTAACAACAAAGATCTTAAACCCAAAGAAAGAAAGAAATAAAGCAAGACGAGGGTATGTTGTGAACTTTTATACAAGTCATAAACTCAACTATCTACATATCATATAAAGATTCTAACAAGTTATACAATTTACAAATCATGAATAATGTGATTATTTCTAAAATTTCATACAATCCATGGAACCTATTAATCAGATATTTGCCCACCATTTTTTAAATTTGAATTTAAATTTATTTTATATTAAAAAAAAGTAAGCATAAGTGTAATGAAAACAAGCTATATCCATAATCCATGGTGGGACACCACGTTTACAATACTAGTCATTCTTAGATTGGCTTAATGTTTTGGATTTTGATACGTTACAATGACAATCCCTAATCCTATTTGATACATATAAAATTACAGCTTTTGGTAGTTAGTAGTACATTTCAAGATAAGGACACACTTTTCAAGTGCTAATCGTACATGACTGACCACTTGTTACGATTTAAAATTATCATTTTATTTATTTATTTAATAAGAAAATAGCAATTCCATATTCATTTTACAAAGATTTTAAAAAAATGTAATAATAAACACTAATACAATAGTGGGAATTATTTTGTTTTTTATATGCACAATAGTTAGAGTTTCCGTAATTTTGCAAAAACCTCACAATCATTCACACTGCTCGTGACTTTAAACAATATGACTCTTCATACTTACTTGTGTTATCTTGATCAATATTAATAATATGCATTTTATTTCAAGGTAATTCTTTTCCATTTTTTTCTTTTTTGGGACCACTGTCAATTGTTAGTATGCCTGAATCTAAATCAAACCCAACTTAACCCATATACAAAATTTTACATAATTTGCAGTAAAATGATTATATAAATAGCATTACTCACGTACGTGGGTACGCACATAAATTCTAGCCAAATGTTAGTCATATTTTGATGGATTTTACTTTTCTCACGTGTGATTCGTTGTTTCTATAGTTTAATTGTCCAAACAAAGTATTTTTATTGTTATATATATACTCAACGTTCATAACAAACTTACACGTGGTCAATTTAGCAGTTTATATATTCGGTTCTACGTCAACTGGTTGTTGGGTCTAAAACGTCTTTTTCAGTAAATTTGATTGATTAAATACCAAGTGGAATGAATTAATTATTAGAAAACACATACACATTCCATTTAAAAAATTAAAATTACAAAAAAAAGCCAAAAAAATCTTAAATTAATATTCTGTGCATTCATACAAGCTTGTTCTTTTTTATTCATTTTATAAACTTGAGATATCATCATCACTCATTAAGGCTAATCTAGACCTTACTATATAAAATTATTATTACCAACAAAAATCTCATGGATGTCTTGAAATGTCTCTGATATTTTTAGTTAACATGGTTGTATATCCTAGAGCTTATAAAAAATTCTAGCATAAGTTAATTTGACTCTTTTGAACACTTAAACACCTTAGCTACAAGCTTGTTCTTTTTGCGTGGGGAAATTTTCAGTGGGGCCCTCTTAACCCACTTTAATTGCAATCAAAATCCTTAAAATTCTTAAATTTCACTGTACTTGCAGGGGATTAAAATGAAATTAAAAAATTGACTGAAATAACTTTATTATCCTTGATAAAATGAATAACTAATGCATAAATGAACAAGTGACGTATGAAAAATGAACAACTAATGTAAATGAAATTTTCAATCGTTATTAACAATATAACACCACTATAAATATAAACAAGTGAAGTTAGACATATAAATAACTCATGTAAGGAAAATGAATAACTGATATAGGTGGAATAAGAATTGTAAATTCATAATAATGCTATGCTATTGATAAAAGTTATAAATTTCACATATGTTAGTTGTTCATTTTTAATTGTTCATTTTTCCTATACAAGTTGTTTAACCTAGCTTCACCCAGAGACAATAGAGTTATTTTAGTTAACTCTTTAATTTCATTTTAGTTTGGCACATGTACAGTGAAATTTTATAATTTTAAGAGTTTTATTGAAAATTAAGTTAGGTTAAGGAAATCTTACTAAATTTTTTCCTTTTGTTTACCTTTAAAATAAATTTCAGTTATCATGCGATGCCACGTCAAATCTGAGTCAACAAGACAATGGAGAAATATTTACTCTTGTAAGGCACCCTAGTGGAACAGATGGACTAATGAGAGACAAAGGCTTGTGTGATAATCCTAAAAAGTGGATTGTACTTGCTTGAAATGCAAGAGGAGCAAGTCCAAGTGTCAAAAAAGGAAACCTTGTGCTTGTGTGCCTTTTACCACTAATGTCTATATGGCCATGATGATGGAAACATAATTGCTCAATCTTCATCCATAAGCTTCTCAATTTGATAAAGAAAAATTAAAAAAGGGAAAAGGAAAAGAGGAAAAGTGATTCTTTTTCAAAATCAAGATTTAGATCCGATTAGAGAAAATTTATGTACATTCTTTCATTTAGACACAATTTCCTTAAAGTGAATATAAATACAAATAAGATATTAAGTTTATTTGGATAAATTTTTTATAGAACATAATTAGACAGAAACAGTCCAGAGAGCACACATAAAATATGTTAGAAGTGAACCCCATTAAAAAGAAAAAAAAAAAAGATATCTGACATATATTAATAATTAATATGCATATTACTTGAGAATCTCACCTTTTTGTGGTGAAAGAGAGTGAGGTGCACAGCTGATTGGTGGAGTGGCTTCTTCTAGTATACGGTAGAAAAGGACGTTGTACCATCACCAAACGTGAGTTTCATGATTGGTCTGCAAGGGAATGTAAAATGTCTCAAAATATGAACAGTGACATTGCAAAATCTTCACCCTTGTCTAAGCAAAGCCTAGAATTTGCCCTTTATTTCTCTCTCACTCTCCTTATTTCTCTCCAATTGCTCCACCTGCATGAGCCACACCCAAAATTTCACCAAATGGGGTGGCTACAATCCCTCCTCTCTCCACTCAAGAAAATGTGGCTCAGATTGCATTCCACTCAAAGGAAGAGTAAGCTAATTCTGTGATACTCTCCATCATACCTGCATTCTCAATGTTTTTCTTTTTTGCGTGTGCTCCTTCTGATCCAGAAATGCTTGAGAGAATCAGCATCTTTCATCTGCAATCCTTCGTTAGCAAATTGTATCAATGAGATTTCCAAGCAAATCATTCAAACCATGGAATCTAACCTGTCTTTTGTTTCTGCATTCTGTTTGAGTTCTGAGAAACATGTTCATCATACCCCGCTTTTCATCATCTTTCTGCATTCTGATGAACTCAAATTTTGGCTCATCATTTCAGGAAGAGGGATCTACATTCTGTATGAAGATGTCAAATCTTGCCCCTATGAAGACGTGCACGTCCTCTGGTCTATATTAGTGGAATCACATCCACCTTGTTTGCCATCCAAAAAATGAAGACTCTGTCTATGCACTGCAGAGTACAGAAGGACACACGTAATGTACATAAAAGTATTTAATGTCCAAGACCCATACAGTATTTTCTTTCTTTGTTTTTCTTTCCTTCTCCTTTCTTCTTTTAACTTTTGTAGCACCAATAGAGAGTGATTATCCTCCTTGCGATTTTTGTGTTCAATAAAGCTCTCACTACGTGCATATTTAAAAACCTATCTTTTCTCTTCTCTACTTTAGTAATTCAGCTTCTAATAGAAGTTTTCATTCTGCAAAACTAAACTAGTAGAATACGATATAGTGGAGTATTATGAAAAGCATGTCTATTAAGATAAACCAATCAACTTTTTTTTCCCACCTCGAGGTTTATTATTGTTAAGAGGTCTAATTTAAGCAGTTGAGATGGTAGTTTGTTCCTTTTCTTTCCTAGCTGAAATTGACATGTGAAAGCTACTTCAGAATGGATCGTACAACCGACAAATTTCATCTCAATTTGTCATATTTAAAGATTTTTTGTTTCTTACTCAAAAAGTATTTTCAAGACTACAATTATATCCACAGCATATCTCCTCACGTCTTTGGCTTTGTCTGACTCGGGTGAAGGCATGTAATCCAACTACCAGTATGACTTAAGCCAGAGTTGGTATAACCTCTTTTCAACTCATCTACAATTGAAAATAAACATTGCAAATATTTGTTGGTAATTATAAATTATAAATAAACCCGGTGTATGAGCATAAGCACGCAGCAGCCAAGGGGAAACAAGCTTACCTTCTTAATCTAATTTTGTTAAGGACAATGATCTCAACACGGTCAATTCAAAAGATAGCAGAATCATAAAGAAGCTAATAAAAGCAAAATATCTTTTCAACAAATTTTGTAAGCAATATGGAAGTTTTGCATTAAAAGAAATCTGACGCATTTTAATTTTTCCCATGCGTTGCGGAAATTCAGATCAGCATACATCTTAACTTTGTGAAAATAAATAGCGGGAATGGCAATAAGTAATGAAAGGAAAAAAAAAAACCAATATGAATATTGAGAAAATTTTCTTGGGCTGAATTGAAAAAGTATTGATCCAATCAATGCAAGTGACCACATGGCGCAAAGGCACCTCCTCATTGGCACAAAATTGCACCAAACTAAGAATTTCACCTAAAATAAAAAGGCAACATGAATTTCTTATCAGAGTTATCTAAAAACGAGTGACTTCTTACAGAAAATAGCAGTTACTTATTCATTCATGCGGGAAGTTGTACAATTTTATGTAGATAAATAACAAGAATGGCAAACAACTTGGTGTAATAAATGAATTGTAGTTTTTTTTTTGTGACAAAAGAATGCTATTATTATATAGAAAATAGGCTTTCTCATTAAATCAGGCTGTGACAAAAGGTGTGTCCCTAACTTGACAATACCGAGGCAGTGATGTGTGCATGGAAACAACTAGACTGCTCAGGATCCAAATAATTTCTGTTAGCTCCAGCTTGATTTCGTAATCACTCAACTAGAGTAATCTGCAAGAGGAAGGAATTCATATATCACATTCACAGACAGATGGGAAGGAGGAAAAGTAGTAGTTGATCCTATGGTGCTATCGGGAGTCAGTTAAGGCAGTTAAAATAATCCATAAATGTGATGAATAAGAGCAGTAGTTTAATCCAAATTGTGAGATTTAAATTGCAATAAGAGCAACATCAGATGCATAATTTGTGTGCGCCGTTGTTTAAATGTGCTTGGCCTTATCATATAAGTATTTTAAGACTCCTGTTTAATCACCAAGTTGCAGCACTTAATAAGAGAGGTTTTTTAGGCCAAAAAAATAAGAGAGGTTCTTGTGTGTTTTAGAGTCCATGAGTGCCCATGGGAGTGCTTGTGCATGAATTCGTGAACGTGTGTGCAAAATGACGAAGGCGTATGAATGAGTATGTAATCTTGTCTCCTTTATAGAAAGGCCTTGGAGACCAAACCTTATGTGGGTAGGTTGGTTCGTCCTTGGACGTAGGGTCAAATAAAGACTATCATATAAATTACGTATAAAAGAGGACTCTTACCGTTTATAAAACTGCCGGAGAGGGGTGTTCAAAGACATATAGTAACATATCCTTAAAATAGGCATGACAATCTACCTCCACGTTAGCCACTTAGCCAGAGCAGCCAGAGGAGTAACAGTAATCTAAAAAAACATCAAACTCTGTCAGCCACAGTTTGGTATCCAAGAAATTTACTTTGGGCAAGAGAATACTCACATATCCTTCTTGCAAACATTTGTCATCATTATTGTCAGGATCATATTGGGCACCTCTTACCTACAAAAGTTGAACTGAGTTCTATAGTATATCAGTGAGAGGCTGAGAGCATAAGAGGGAAAATATAAGTGGGATCATTCTGCATTCCCTGCAAATTAACATCTACTTCGTAAGCGGACAAGATTGTAGAATCACATCATCAAGTTCTGAATGAAACCAACCATTGCACTCTCAAGCTGTCAAGCACTATATAAACTGTGTAGCAGTTATTGCAATGGAGTTCAACTTATAGCCATAAAAATGTATAAATACAAGCTATACACATTATACAATGTGTACAGGACTTACTTCTAAACAAAAGAGAAAATAAAAAAAGAAATGTACCTACTTCTCTCTTGAACATAAGATGTTCAGGTGATACTGATGATGAGTCACTTTCTGTAGGTGCTGTTTTCTCTATGTCCATGGTCATTGCAGGTCATTTTTTGTCCTTGTGTCTCAGAGGTGACTTGCTTCCATCCCATCTTGATGCAACTTTTACCCTGCTTGGTCAGCTTGTAGCCCTTTTTATGATGCACAGAAGACAACCAAGAACAATAATTGATATTTGATTGGATGGCAAAACAATAAATTCTTGTGGCAGAGTCAACAATTTTAATCCTCTGAACTCCACCATGCCATGTACGACTTTTAACTTCAATATGGAGGATAAAATAATGCTAAAGCAAGCATTCAAAACAAAATCATGACACTTCCTTAAGGAAGGGAAAAAACATTGATATGTATCAATTAAAAACAAAAGGTATGTAAATTTTTTATCAAATCAGACACCAGATCCTATCATTTTGACTTGACATTCTCAGCTAAACCAATTTTCCGGGACTCCAAACCATACGTGTCACAAATCATATCTGATAATAATATTACATTGCTCACAAAACAAGCACCATTCACAGAAAGCTAGAACCTCCCAAAATATTAATGGAAAAGAGGAAAGCCAAGTTACTCCTGGCAATATATCAATCCTAAAAAATTTACATTAATATTGCTCAATTAGGCTTCTGGCAACATGTCAAATCTAATAAGACAATATCCAAGTACAAAATTAATACGATTAGCTGATTAGGAATTCTATATTATTGAGAAGCACAAATACATACAACAGCAATAGATAGCAGAAAAGTAGTCAAATCAAAAACAGAAGCGATGGTTGTTAGTGAGAGAAAAAATATTTCCAATAACAGATGGTTTGTCAGACTGAGACACTTTATTATTTGACAACTTTAGTGGTGGACTGGTTAACAGAACAGTGCCCAAGTTCTTCATATTTTTTGTCAATAGATGTTGTCACCCTTTCCTTTGTATCTTGCCGAATTGAGGACATGCAGGCATATAGTGGCCTATATCATGTTAACAATTTTTTGCATGCTAAACACAAAAATGCAACAACGGTCATAATCTACCTTATGAGTAACAACATTTCTTGGCACGTCTATATTTTAAAATCATCTTTGATGATATCTTTGATTCTTTATGTCAATCAACACGGCACTTATGATTGGCAAGCACTCTTGAGCAGCCAGGGTAAAGTCCTGTGGGTCACTCTTTTCTTTAACCCTGGACATATAGGAACCCTAAAATGGTTAAATAGGGCAATGAACAAAAGGAAAAATGACTGGTATGGCTTATAATTCCCATCAGCTATATTACTATTAGTTTTGCATTTATTTATTCTGCAATTGAAGAAGATAAAACTGTTTAGATAAAAACCGTTTGCTGATAACAATTAGAGAATATAAATCCAGTGATATAGCCACAATTTTTAGATTATACCAATCATATAAGATGGCAATGGAAGGTATATCATTGAAAAAAGCCCCTCGAGCTCCAGCTACTGTGCCTGAGTAAATACTGCATAAAATGGCAAGATGGGCAAGTAAGTAATAACTACTCAAGCAGTTATAGTGGAAAAAGATTATCACTGTTTCAAATGCAGTTGGGCGTGCCTTAAATTTTACGGGATGCCAATGCGATTATCTCCATGCTCTCTTCAGGATATGTGAACAGCATAATATTTCTTAGTTATATTTCAATTTAATTTAATGTCCTTCTATTGCATCCTTTGCTTCAACGTGCAGCTTTTAAAAATGACCGCATAACAGGTTTTAAGCAGCACCTTCCAATTCAGTACTTCAAATGACAAAAATAAAAAAAAAGTTTCTGATCAAACTATAGAAAATCCAATTGATATAAATCCACACCATGGTAAGATTGTGATCAAGTAAAAACAGGAAGCAAGTAACTTCGTCTGCCACAATGCCATTTTTAACATGCTTATATTTTCCTTACATTGTGAGGGAATAGAACTTCAGATGCTACCCCTTCTTCCCTGTCTCAAGATAATTAAAGAATGAACAAACGGGGGGCTACATACATGTGATACCCACAGTTGCTACCCATGTTTGTGCCACTAACTACCTGTACTTAAAGATAGAAAAGACATTAGTGACCAACTAGATGGATTATTTATCTGGATAGACTTAATCAAATTGGTCCCATATGCAGAGGATCTTCTTAGGAAAAAAGAGAGAAACAAATCCTGACAAGGTAAAAATAGTTAAAAGTTAATTTTTTCCTTAAACTATTCTCACAAAAGCATTGGTTATCCTAAACTATCAAATGGGCAATGTTACCCTCAAACTCTAAAAAACGTTACAATGTCACTCCTCCCATTAAAAGGGAGCAAACGTCCATTAAAAGCAAACATAGATATGTCTAGCAAGAGAGACATTAAGTTTGAGGGAAATGGTGCACTAATTAATAGTTTAGGATATATAGTGCTTCTCCAAGAATAGTCAAGGGCAAAAATACCTTTTTAACCCATAAAAATATAGCACAATAACTTTGGCGCAAATGAGACAAGTAACCCCAGTATCATCTGAAGTTTTATGAGCTACTTTTCAAGCTTTTACCATCTATATTAAAAAGCTATGCTATAGTGTTCACATAACGGAACTATAGAAAAACTACCAGGATGGTATTGACTGAGAACAGGAGCCCGTTGTTGGCCAAAAAAAAAAAACAAGAAGAACAGGAGTACATTGTAGGAATGTGACACTTTATAAATTCAAAAGTAAAATTTTAAACCCCAACTGTACCAGATCAGCTCCTGTAGGAAAGAGTTCTTTGGAAATTCCCAGAGAAGTACAATCAGCTGGAGTCCCTTAAAAAACAAGAAGAAGAAAAGGTTTGAAGTTGAGAGACTGAAAAAATATATAGATCTTCTATCAAATAGAAGGGAGGGGAAGTACTATAATTTTTTAAAATAATATATATATATATATAGGTCAACTGAAGAGTATTTTAACTGTACAATAATCTGAAGAGGAATTTAGCATATCCAAACGTTTTGATTGCGCCTTTGGATTTGCTCTTGAAACTAATGATAAGAAGCAATAAAAGAAGGTCACCTTCAATTTGCAGTAGGGCCCGGTTGCAGATAGCTTTTCAAATTCCATTACCATTAGAAATGGAACAAATCTAACGTAAGATATCTTCTAACTGAACAGTTACATTTTGTTGAATTCGAAACAAATTACATATAATATTGGCATCAAACATATCTTAAAATTCACAAGATGCATATTTCGCATTCAAAATATTCAATTCAAGCTCGATACATTATATGAGAGTCACCATTTACCATTCCATGGGCAAATCACCAAGTGGAAGCGACTCAAAAACAATAAGACTACAAAGAGTGCAGAGGGGGAAAAAATTAAGAACCGATGTTTGAGCATGCAAGTTTATGCGTCTGTGTATATGTCTGTATATGTAAAAGAACATATCAAGTATCAACTTAGGTTAATTGGGGGTGGGGGTGGGGGAGGGGGAACAGAGATCGCAAAGGCTTGGCTCCACGAATGTTTATTTTCTTGGCAGTAACAGGGCTAAACCCAGTAATACAATGACTTACAGCTGAATTCTCACGGAAAACGTCCCAGTTAAAACAGAAAAGAGAACCGTTAAAGAACTCCTCTAGAAATTGTGATCACTTTAGAGGAGCTGCCTCTGCATGCTTTATGAAACCGCAACAAAAACATAACAATACAAGCTACAAGTAGTGCAAAATCATTGTTATACATGGAAAAAAAGCTAGCCATTTAAAATCCATAAGCAAAATCAGTCTCGCTTACTCTTCCTGATAAGCGATGCAAAGTAGGCATATAACAGCGTGTGTGTGTGTGTGTGTGTGTGTGTGTCAGCACATATATCCAATCCGACAATACATTTCGTTTTACGCCTAGAACTTAATAAATTAATCAACGGCCGAGTGGGATGATCAAATCCAAAGAAATTAACAAAAGATAAGGATGAAGGTTACGGCAAAAATAGGCAGCTATTAGGGGCAGCGACTTGAACATTGTAACGATTGGTGGCGACGATAACCTGAACCAAAGCTTTCAAGCCAGGCGCATGGATTCCATCGTCGTTTGTGACGAGAATTGTGGGTTTGCTGGTGTCTTCCATTGTATTTACCACACAGTTCAGGTTCAGGGAGGAGAACAATGCAAGATGTTCAGGATATGAAAGGGAAGGAGAATGATTGAGAGTGTTATATGTTAAGATTGTTTCCAGAAATCGCGCTACCAGTTCGTGCGTGTGGCTTAAGCAAGAACGATCATAGCAGAATTGCGCTCCACTTATTTGATGAGAAAATACCATAAATCTTTTTCATTTTAAAAATTTCAATCCATACATAACATCCTCCCTTGTGTCCTTATTATAAACATAACCAGCTCACTAACCCCAAAAAAATAAAAAACTGTTAAGTACTTAATTTTATTGAAAAATAATAAACTTTTAAGTTTATTTATATTTAAATAAAAAATTAATTTTACATTACATTACATTCTCTGACAATTAATAAATTTTAAAAGAGATAATATTAAGAAGATATCATTAATATCCACTAGGTACCTTACATTAAAAACCATTAATCTTTTATAAAAAATATCTTATAAAAAAGAATAGGAGGAAGTTCATTGAGAAGGAATTACAATAAATATTAAATTAAAATTAATTTACATGTAATAAGTAAACTTTGTTTATCTATGCATTACATTAGATTGTAGAATTACCTTTCCATTTTCAACAGGCTGATATGAGATTCAAGAAATGTTGTATCCTTTCACTCAACAGTCAACATATATAATCATCATTAATAAAACACTGTCATTAGTAACAAACATTTTGTATCTATTACTCAAGTAATTAATAATCCAAGTCATTTCACTAAATACTATCTTAATTAAGGACTATTCTACATGCATGGCTGTCCCCCAAAATAAAAACAGAATCTTCATAAACTGTTAGGAACAGAATTACAATATAGTAACCTAGAAAGTGTATATGTTGACAAGACCTTGGTGCCAACCAACCAACGTGTTTTTTTAAAACTCTTGCTATATGAGCATTTTTATTATTTGATTTAGATACATAAAATATACCACACTAAGAGTCTTGTTTTAACTTCTGTAAATTCACATGTTATGAATCATGTGTCAATATTAATTATATGAAAAAATTAATTTTTTAATCTTTCAATTTTTAATTCATTTGTAACTAATTCTCTCAATTATGACTCACCATAACTCATTCCTTCAACTATAATTTATTACAATTCAACCCTTTAATTTTTAATTCACTTATAATTTAGTTCTTATTTTTTAATTTTTTTAAAAAATTTTCTTTATTATATAAGAGGGATAAAGGAAATGCTTTTATATTATTCTAATAATTTATTTTGTATCGATTACTGTCTTTGAATAAGCTTTTTGAATGATCTTTAAGTGTGATTCTCTTTATAATATAATCCTCACATAAAAAATGCTTTAAATCATCATTTATTTGAAGACACTGCTCTATTTTGTCCATACATACATGCATACGCACATATATCTATGACATAATTAACACCGTTAAATCTAAAGACGGGGCTAATAGACGCTGATGTGGCGAGTGAGTTTTTGACAGTAGAATGTTAGTTATTTCGATGTGGAGATAGAGCTAACCAAACAATTAAACGTGAGTTTAATAGCCTAACTCATTTTTAACCCTAGGGTGGTTGTTTTTTTTTTTTGTCATTTTCAGCAATACAATGCAAACCTTCAAAACTAAATTGTTTGAATGACAGCTTGATATCTGTGTGCGTGTGATTATAATTTGGGGAATTAATCTGTTACTAATTTCTTAAATGTGGTGTGGATGAAGAAAAAATTAAAGTAAATTATATTTTCAAGAAAATTAAAACTAAATTACGTGGGCTGTGTAATATGTAAGTTTAGAGTGAGTTATAGTGGTTTGTTAGATTTATGCTTTAGAAAAACATTACTCCATGCCCCCTAAAATATTTCGGTCAAAAAAGAAAATCTCTCAAAAAATATAAAATATTTTTTACCGAATCTCACTGATGTAGAACAGGGAAGGAGAAGGAGGAGAGAATATAAAAAAAAAAAGAATCAATAGAGAGAATAGAAATAAGAAAAAACTTAGAGGAAAGGCGAGATAATAATAATTCTTATTCAATCCAATCTGCATACAGATCGAATGAGTTGATGTTATTTATAGGCCCCAACTCAATCCTAAAAATAAGCGCATGAAAATTCTAAAAATTTTAAAATTAAATAAAAAGATAACAATAATTGAAAAGATAATAATAAATATTGAAAGATAACAATGATTCAAATCAATTAAAATTAAAACAAAATATATGTGATTAATATGAGAGTAAAATATCTTCGATTTTCACATCTGCAATATTCTTATAATATCTTCATTAATTTCTTTTTAATTTTCTTCCCATCACTCACTCATTATAACATAATTAATTATTTTTAAATTAATATTATTTTTCATATTTATTTCTATTTAGTATGATATTTCACTTTAAATTAAATATAAAATAATTTATTTATTAAGGATGACTTTAAAAAAAATAAAATGATTATATTTTAAAATATTAAAAATATTTTAAATTTTTAAAGCGAAAGAAGGAGCAAAATTTATGAAAAAACAAAACGTGTGGTAGGTAGGTTAGCGTGTATATACAACTCACGAATTTACATACCAGGGTTGAAAAAATAATAGATTGGCCAAATGCAACATTTTTTTTTAGATAGTCAATTTTTTTAAAAAAATCAATATTAATTTTCTCATTAAATTTTTTGATAATCAAATTTAAATATTGTTGAATTCAATTAAAAGTATGTTTCACAATAATATAATTCACGAACTCGAATTTTAAAATTTATATTTAAAATAGTTATAATTTCTCTCTTTGAATCAAAACAATGCTAGTCATATTTTCTTTATCATATTATCAGCATGCCTTGATTCTAATGGAATGAAGTATTACTGCTTAAATATGAGATCTTGTTTGAGTTTTTGTGAATAGAAAAGAGTGAAAAAAACAATTATTGGAAGAGCTGTTTTCAATTAAAACCCGCTACTTATATCTGATTCTATCAAAGCCAAATTCAAAAAGAAAAAAAAAGATTTCTTATAAGATTTTACAGCACCTGGAACCTATTTTTTCCCGAACTCACGCCCAACCTGTCTTGCCAGATCAGATTCTATGGTTTTGTTCTCCCTCTAACGCGCACAAGCCCCCGCGTGAAATCATCCCATAGTTTCCAAAATTTATCCAAACCAGAAAGAAAATCATCACAAGAAAATAAACCAGGACGCGCAAACTGTATAAACAGCCACTGATCTGATCTTGAACGTCCGATAATGCCACGTCATCCGTCGAGGGCTCATGTGCATGACGTGGCGACATCGTGACCGTTGAAATAATCCCACCTGGCGATGAAAATTGGAGATTTGGAGGGAAAGTGAGGGAAACTATTGTGAAAAAGAAAAACAATCCCAATTAGGAGTTTTCTGGGAAAAAATACGCACTTGGAATTGGTAATGTGAACGAGAAAGGGGAGAATAAAAATGAAAATAATTTCAGAGAGAGAGAGAGAGAGCGCGCAATGGTATGGTACTTGTAGAGCAGAACTGCTATTCCGAGCCCAGAAATCTCGCCCTGCTGCTTCTTCCTCTATCCCTCTCTGATTCGCGTAACACGGTAGCACTCCGATCAGTTTTGTTTGTGTCGGGGAATTGCGGCCTCGGAGCAAGAATTACCTGAGGGATTTGGTGAGTTTCACTGGTCAAGGTAAGTTTCCTCGAAGATTCTTGCTTTGGCGTTTTGGTCTCTTCGGGTGCTTCTTTCAAGGAGGAGTCTTTGTCGCATTCGGATTGTTTTTGCCTCAGATCTCGCAGTGTGTGCTGGGGGATTTCAGTAAACGGTGATTTAGGTTTTTTTTCCTTGGTGAATTCTTGGGGATGGATTTTGCTGGGGAGGTTTACGCGATTTAAGGGGGTTTTGGTTGTGGTTTTTCATGTAAATGGAACGGGGAACGAGATCGGCTGGCGCTTCCGGAGTTGTAGTGACAAACAGAAACTCTTCGGGCTGTTTAATTGTTAGAAAGAAAGGAGATAGGTTGGGTGGTGGATATGGCTCTTCTAGTAGCTCTCGGAAGCAGTATGAATCAAAGGTTAGGAAAAGGCCCAGTGTGGCTAAGAGTGATTCAGAATCAAGCGATGAGTTGCTGATGCCTCCTGTAAGAAGGCTTGGTTCTGAGACTATTCGTGTCTGTAATGGGTTGACTGCTTTTGAGCAGGGTACAGGAGAAGGGAGTGAAAGTGGTCGAAAGAGGGATGGAACGGAGCGAATCAGACATTATGAGGATTCTGTGTTTGACAATAATGATTTGGAGCAGAGGGAAACAAAGCGGAATAAACTGGACGTGTTTGATTTTGATGAATATGATGATGTACAAATGACTCGAATGAGGAAGTCTGATGATGATAACGGAATTAGTTTAGGAGCAAGAAGGTTTGTGGAACCAATGCATGATGCTTCAAGTGGCATTAAGAGGGAATGTGAAACAGGGTCAGGTAGACACATTGTTTATAGTAGAAAGAATTCTTATTATGATAGGGCTAGTAGCTTGTATGTAGAAGATAATGCTAACCAGAGCAGGTTCAATGCAAATAGGCCTGATGCTCAGCTACCTCTGTCTTTGCTGAAAAATAAGTTTAAATCAGATGAATCCATTAGGGTTCAGGGGAAAAATGGTGTTCTAAAGGTGATGGTTAATAATAAGAAGGCTGGCCCATCAGAACACTATGGTCACCGCAAACCTATGGAAAGCAAACAAAGTTTGAGGACTGAAGCCACTGCCAAGAAGAATACCATGGTCCATCCTTCACCGTATTCAAAACCAAAACTTGTTCAGAAGCCAGGTTCAGTTGTTAGGCAAGAGAAAAAGAGGATAGCATCAAAAAAATCATTTTCAATGAAGAACAATAAGGGCCGTGCTTGGGATTCAGAGGACAGTGGCTCATTATCGGATCAGGAGTTAGCAACTACTAAAACTCGCAAGTCTTTGAAGAAGGTAGGTTCTGAAGATGAACAGACTCCTTTGCGTGAGAAACTCCCAACTACAATCATGAAAGAAGGAAAAGTGAAGCGGGGTAGTGGCACTGAGAAACAGAAGCTGCGAGAAAAAATAAGGGAGATGCTCCTGAGTGCGGGATGGACTATAGATTATCGGCCTCGAAGGAATAGAGACTATCTTGATGCAGTTTACATTAATCCAGGGGGTACAGCCTATTGGTCAATCATCAAAGCCTATGATGCTCTGCAAAAGCAATTGAATGATGGTGATAATGAGGCCAAGCCCATGGTTAATGGTTCTTCCTTTGCTCACATCTCAGATGAGGTGCTGAGCCAATTAACAAGGAAAACTCGGAAAAAGATGGAGCAAGAATTGAAGAAGAAGAAAATAGATGGTAGTGAGAGTGAGAGTGACAGTGAAAAAAAACCCAACCGTAAAAGATCTGCCAGTGACAAGCATGACATGAATAGCACGGATAGTGATAGTGATGAAGAGAAATTGAGCTCTTTTATAAGGCAGGGAAGTAAGTCAATGAAAAATAAGATTTCAGAAAATGTTGTTGCCAGTGCTAGCTTTAAATCCCAGAAATCCACCCATCGCATGCATGATGAAACTGACAATTCATTGTCTGAATGTGATCCTCATCTGTCACATGGGAGGAAAAGTAGAAAACATGGAAGATGTACTTTGTTAGTTCGGAGTTCTAGCAAGGGATTGAATTCAGAATCTGGTGGTTTTGTTCCGTATACTGGCAAAAGAACAGTGCTTTCCTGGTTGATTGACTCTAGGACAGTTGCATTGAGCCAAAAGGTTCAGTATCGGAGACGAAAACGAGTAGTGCTGGAGGGATGGATTGCAAATGATGGTATTCATTGTGGCTGCTGCAGTAAAATCCTCACAGTTTCCAAGTTTGAGATTCATGCAGGTAGCAAATTGCGCCAGCCATTTCAAAACATATATTTGGATTCAGGAGTTTCTCTTCTACAGTGTCAAATAGATGCATGGAATAGACAAGAGAATTCTGAGAAAATTAGTTATCATTCTGTGGATATTGATGGTGATGATCCAAATGATGACACTTGTGGTATATGTGGAGATGGTGGGGCCTTAATCTGTTGTGATGGCTGTCCATCAACATTTCATCAGAGCTGCTTGAGTATTAAGGTTTGTCTAGATATTTTATTAACCACGTGACATCTTTTTGTTTCTTCCCATTTTATTTATACGGATTATTGTTCACAGTAACTGTATCACACTGAATAGAATCAATAGATGCGTGATATCTTGCACGTGTAGCACTATAGCTTGTTTGATATTTAGATGTTTGGTTGAATGAGTTTTCTCATTGAATTAATGTGCCTGTTCCCAAACCTTGATAAGAAAAATTCACTAATTTGTTATAGTCAATGGTTTTATTGACTTATAGAATACTTTTATGCCTGATAATTAATTTGCTATAGATGCTTCCTCCTGGTGAATGGCATTGTCCAAATTGCACCTGCAAATTTTGTGCAATAGCCAGTGGGACCGTTAAAAAAGGAGATGCTGCTGCATGTGCTCTACTTACTTGCAACTTATGTGAGAAAAAATGTACTTACTTTATCCTGTTTAGATTTGAAGCTCTTTCAATTTTCTTATGTATACCTGTTTTAATATATTTTGCTGTTTGCCCAGACCATGAATCTTGTGCTGAGAAGATGGATGCTCTTTCTAATAACTCTAATGTTTCGGGCTTTTCTTTTTGTGGAAAAGAGTGCAAACAGGTACCTCTTATATTTTATTTACATCTTCGCTCTCAACAGCTTATTGTTACTCTCTCCCTCTCTCTCTGTGCGGGAGTGCCCAGACATTGCTTGAGTTGTAATAATGGTTTTCTTTGCCATGAGTTGAATCATAGGATTATAGCATTTTTCCTTTTCTTCTTGTTTTTTTCTTTTTCAAAAAATTGGTAATTGTTAGTTCTTTGTATCTTTGTGTTAAACTTCTCTAGCAAAAAGTGGCACTGAGGGAAAAAATATTTAAAAAACTTAACCATGTAATATTGACCTGGAAAAAAAATTGCTTTTTATTGGAGAAATTGCTAGCAAAGATATGAATATAGTACCTTGGTTTTCTTTTCCTTCTCCAGAAACTATAGAAATTTTAATTTTTCTGCTCAAAATCCTGATTTATACTACTTGACCTTTGTATGTATTTTGGGAATGCTTATTATGATGTTGACTGATGGATTAGATATTCAATTGAATGTTCTTGTCTGAAACTTGAGTTATCTTCAATGAGCTTTGGATTGCCAAATGAGTTTATGAGAAGGAGGACATATCTATTTGGAATATTTAGTAAGGAAATGGAATAGGGTTTAAAGGTGTAAACCCCTGAAGCGTAATATTTTCAAACTCTCATTCCCTTATTTTTTGATAAATGACAGGATCAAGAGCCAAAAGGGATTCAATAAGCAAATTAGATTTATCAAATAATTGTTCTTCTAACCAGAATACCCAATATTTTTTCCCCTATTTAATCCCAATCTAAGTGTATCTTGGTAAACAAGTGATCAAAGATGCTTTTGCTAATTGATATACATTGAGTTGATCTCAGTTACAAAAAAATGCTTGTAAGTGGGAGATTTATTTTCTTTTCCTTCTTAATATTCATCTCTGAATTTGCTTATGAGACAGAGTATGGTTTGATGTACGCTGTGTTACAAGAAATTTGACTAATGAAGGAAAGATAAAATGAGAAATAAACGTTGCACAAGAGCATGATCTTGATGTATACCTTGTATTCTTTGACAGCTTTTTGAGCACTTGAAGAAGTTCCTAGGTGCCAAGCATGAACTAGAGGCAGGATTTTCGTGGTCTCTTATTCATCGAACAGATGAAGACTCAGAGGCCACTAGTAGAGGAATTTTTCAAAGGGTTGAATGCAACTCCAAGCTAGCTGTTGCACTGACTATTATGAATGAATGCTTTTTACCCGTTGTTGACCGGAGGAGTGGGATCAATTTGATTCATAATGTTTTATATAATAGTGGGTAAGCACTTGCAGCTTGAAATCATGGAGTAGCAATATATTCTTTGATGGAGGAAAACCCCTTTTTTTTAATTATAAAGAATGAATACTTAGCTCTGATTTAATGTCATAATTTTAATCTCTCTAAAGTTGCTATTGATAAATATTGTGTTTAACCGTTTACCTTCTAACAATATATGCTTAATTTCCTAAAGTTGACCATTCTGTTTATTCCAAGTTGGAGGAAAATGAATTTAGCAGTTCATAAACGGGATTTTACGGAAGTCTGGTTGAAGTTACTCAATGTTTAAATTGCTTGCAGCATCATCTGCCATGAACTTCTTTATTGTACTAACGTGCTCTATGGAACAGTGGATTCAAATATCGAAGTGCATAATCAAATTCTTGCCTCTAGACAAACATTAGACCATGTCCTTATTCTCTGCAAAAAAAAAAAAAAAACGTAGTTTTGCCACAGAAAGTACACCTATGATCTTTTTAGCATATTACCCTTTCCATACTAGTAAAGGATATCTGATTTAAGACCTGGTTAGCTGTATTACCTGTCATTAGGTTTGCAAAAAATATGTTTAATCTGACTTCAAGAATTGTATGACGACAATAACCCCCAATAAGCTTTCCAAAAGGGGATGTCATCTATTTCTTGTGTATAGTTTATGGCTTTCTACTTCCTTATAAAACACTTCTATAGTTGTGTGGTTTATGGGTTTATATTTTATTTGACATTTAATGCTGGCTTTATATTTGAGTAGTTATGCTGACTTGGTATTTGAGTCATTCTGTTAGTTGATAGGATGAGAGAGAAGCTGGTAGTTTGTGTGTGACTAACTCCCTTTCACTCCAGACAGTTATTGGCGACTGCGTGTGACTGAAAGCACTCAGGAAATGATTTATTGAATGATTTTTAAATTGCAATGGTTATCTGGAATCTTCGTACCATTAATTGCCATGAGAGCATGGCTTGTTTTCTCCCTTTAAGATGTTTCATGGTGTTGCTGTTTTCTTTACTTTTTATTTTTTTCAGGTCAAACTTCAGTAGGTTGAATTATAATGGTTTTTACACTGCTATTCTGGAGAGGGGTGATGAAATCATTTCTGCAGCATCTATCAGGTACTCTGCCTCAGACCTTTTTTCCACTTTCCTTCTTCTAGAAATCTTCATGGAAACCACAAGCTAACTTATTCAGCAAATCTTTTTCTGGGGTTGAGAGGCTAAAATTAAAACCTGGAGATTGGGAAGGATTAAAAGTCAATTGATTCCATATGCATATTTGACATTTGTTGGTTAGAATGGCTTGGAGAATACTAGTAAGGAAGGAAGCTTCATAAGTTGAAAGACTCCTCATTCTTCACTGTTTTGCTAAGAAATTTGTGTTATGAATTGATGCTTCTAATGAATAAGCATAATAGACGCAGGCAACCACTAGCCATGTTTTTGCTTGATTTCTTCACCTTTCTTGAACGAATATGATTTAGCTTTGCTTATTTAGCTGAACAGGAAAGAAAGGCCGTGATCTCGTTCTCCATTTTTTCATGGATTTGTTAGGATGGAAGATTGCATTTATGTTCTACAAAATGATCCTCAACTTTACAGACATGTCTATCAGAAGTTTATTTAAAAACCATTTTTGTTTGGGTTGTAGAGGGGGCCCAAGGCCTGCTACATAGAAAACAATTGCATGCTCAAATGTGAGTTTCCATAGCGTCCTCTCTATATACATGGATCTAACCCTAGTTGGAATACTGGGCTGAAAATAGATGCCTAAAGAATTAGATAAACTTTGCTGAGCTATCTGCATGGCAATTTGCCTTGTGCTAGGTGTGAAACACTCTGATCTTCCACTACCTGCCAACAAGTTCCTGCAACTTTCCATGTATTAAGTCCAGCTTTGCCATGCAATGTCCCTCATCCCCGAGCCATGAAGCTAAACTCACAGTCTGTTTCTGACTTTTCTTGTCTAAATCTCATCTCCTGTGCTAGTTGAACCCTGTAAGCGAAATACTTTTAAATTAAAATGGTCACTGTTACAAAGCACTTTTAAGCAAGTTAATGATAATGATTACAGACTATTTGGTTGTCTGATAGCATATTTGTAACTTTGATATTGAGTGGCATGCATTTTGTTGGCAGGGCTCAGTGCTGATATGTTTTCTTGTCTATGCGTTGTTAATAATTTCGTACTTAGATTCTTGAGTAGTCAAGGTGCCTCTATTAGGTTGCATATCTTGAATTGGATTAATATTTATGCTTTTCTTTTCTGTGAACATAGGGAATGCACTTATCTGTAGGCTGTGTACTTTATTGTTTCTAGGTTCCATGGGACTAGGCTAGTGGAGATGCCATTTATTGGAACTCGCCACATATATAGGCGTCAGGGCATGTGCCGCCGGCTTTTTTCTGCTATTGAATCGGTATACTATGAGAGCTATGGTTCTTTATGATTTTCTTTGCCTTGGTTATCTGCATCAAACTTTTGTAGGTATTTTCTTTGTTGCACTTATCTTTCACAATTTTGACATGCATTTTTCTTTTTCCCTCTTGGAAGGCCCTCCGCTCTATGAAGGTTGAGATAATGATTATTCCAGCAATTGCTGAACTCATGCAAACATGGACAATGAATTTTGGGTTCACGGATCTTGAGGAATCACTTAGGAAAGAACTGAGGTTTTTGAATATTCTGGTGTTCCCTGGTATAAATATGCTACAGAAGGTGCTAGTAGAGAAAGGAAACTTTGAGGGGAACACAACTGCCTCAGGTTTTGGTCTCTTGTTTCGTTTTATTTTATTTAACTTTCAGCGAATTGTTTTTGCCCCTTGCATAAGTTTATTATTTTATTATGATAGGTGTTGAGAAAGTGGAAAATGCAGACAAAGTTAGCATTAAATCAAAATTGGCTGATAGGTCAGCTGATTCCTCGAATCATCAAGACCCTGATGGAAGCGCTAATATGGATTCAAATCCTGTCAACGAGATATATGATGAATGCTATGATGCTTCTGAAGAGATTAAAAATCAAGTTTTATCTGACAGGACTGTGTGCTCTAAATCTCATTCTGAGGATAGGCTATCAGACTCAACTTCAGATAAATGTTCTTCCCCCTCTGATACGAGTCATGTTGCACTAGAGATGGAAAATTATGTGCAAGATAATTTGAATACATCTGGTGAAAGTCGGGTCATTTCTCTGCATGATGCTTCTGTTGATGTACATCGATCAGATGCTCCAGATTGCCCTGAAAACTGTACTTTGGTTCAGGAAACTGCTCCGACTGATCCTTCTTTGAAAGGAGACCTGGTTGAGCCTGTTTTTGACCGGGAAAGTTGCTTACCCACTCTTGTAAATGGTGATTCATCTGAGCATGACGTGAATCCAGTGGTGAATACTATGTTGCTGTCTAGAGAGGTTGGCAAGAATAATACTAATGAGATTCATAAGGCTGTTCCTTCAAGTGGGTTATCTGAAGAAAATATCACCACCCAGAGTCATGAAAATGCAGATATGTCTGATTCTATACTCAATCATGCTGATGAGAGTTCCTTGCAAATCAGTTCTGGTTTGAATGGTGAAACCATGTGTCAAGAAGGAAATTTACACGTAGGCACAGTTGCTTCAGAAAATATGCGTTCTGATGAAAATCGCATAAATGCATCGAATGATAGTTCTGAGACCGATCAAGAGTAAGAGAAGTGCTGTGTCTAATAAAAATACTGCCAATGTGTTACTCTCTCCTCACAAAGTCCTTTTTCCGAAGCTGCAATGCCTTGCATGCAATCAATTTTTCAAGGCTTTGAAAGCTATCTATGATGCTTCATGATGTGGTCTGAACTCTGGATGGTATGAATAAACCCCTATTATTTTCAAGAGATTTAAATAGTGATCAATACCTTGCATCGTGGATGAGTATGGATTTTTTTTTTTTTTTTTAAGGGGCTGAGCTAAGTTGATTTCTTGTCCTTGTTTCTTCTGCCGGGAAGATACAATAATGCTTTGTGCAGAAGATTGATTACACGCCTGTAATACGTGATCTTCAAGCACTTGCTTGGTTGCATTTGTCAGTATCCATTTTGATAGATGATTGACAGAAAAGCAAGAAGCGGGTATTTATAGTTTAATTCCAGCAGCTTCGGCTCAGTTTTGTGGCCCATGTGATTTTTGACGAGGAACTAGCATTGTGTCCTTTGTATTACACGGAAAGCTTATGTGAATGATGGTGTCAATCTAATGACATTTCATGAAGTTTTTATTTCCTTCATCTTGTCTCTGCAATTAAGTTATTTGATGTCAATGCGGAAAACTGAAGCTTGTTTTGAAGAAGCAACGGCAAGGGTCCTTTTTTTTTTTTTTTTAATTTCCAACTTTAAGTATCAATAGTGGCAAAATAATTTGAAAAAATTAATCAATTAGTTCATATAATTTTGACTTAGTTAAAATTCAATTCTTAAATTTTAACTCTGTATAATGTATAATTTAGTCTTTATAGTCTTGATTTGTTTATAATCCAATTCTTGAATATTGACTTTTATAATTCAATTTTTATAATTTTATCTAATTAAAATATTAGTCTTTACATTTTAGGAAATAAAATCTATCATCTTTATCTATATCTTATTTATGGCAGGATGAGTAACTTTTCTTTTACTTTTTTAATTTTTGCATGGTAAATTTAAAAAACAAAAAACTATATAGTAGATAAAATTAAATGATAATTATAACACTACAGGTTAAACAAAAAAACATCTGTGAGACTTACAATAAAAAAAATAAATTGTAAATATAAAAAACTTCAGATAAAAAAAAGTTTGTAACCTCCAATAAAATTACAAATTGTAGAAAAAAGATGGTTATGCAATTTAATTGGAAATTTTTTATTTTTAAAATTTTAATTTACATAGAATATAAGTTCTAAATAAAATAATTTGTGCTAATATTTTTAACATTTTAAAGGTAATGAATTGTACAATAAAATAAATCATTTTTTATACTTTTAGGAGCTATTTCATTACCGAAAAGTATGATAATGAAATGAATTATATAAATAAAAGTAAAAATAAGTCTCCATTTTAGTATGATAAATTAATTGCACATTTATTCTAAGTGTCATCCTTTTCACAGAAAAACCTAATATCATAAATGTGAGAACAATCATGGCATTCACAGACCTAATGAATCATGACTCCAATTATGATTTTTCTATATTAATTTTAATTAACTTACTTTTTTTAAAACTTTATCTATATGAAAAAATTTCAATCCCATTTTTTATATTTTCTTTTCACAAATTTAAACTAATTAAAATTTTCTTCCCTCTCCATTATTTTAAATCCAGATTATCCTTAGCAAAATCTAGTTATAAAGAATAAAGTTATTATTAAAGTTTATAGACTAATATTTTAAATGAATAAAATTATAGAGGCTAAATTGTACTGAGTTAAAATTTAAAAATTAAATTATAATTAAGTCAAATAGATCAAGTTACAATCGAGTTAATAGTATAAGGACGAAGCAATAAATTTTTTCAAATAACTTATACACACACAAAATTGTCCATCACTTTGATTTTTTGCGACCAGCATTGGCCATCACTTTGATGATTTCTTGAAGATTCAATTTATCACACTTATTATTAATTTTTTTAATGCATCCTACATTTGGGTCCAACATCTTATAAGAAAGCATGCAAATCATTAAAATTACGCCAAGTAAATATAAAATAAAATAATTGTCTTTGCTTGTCATTCAAAACGAAACCACACATAGACCTATTCCTTTCGATAAAAATCAAATGGTGGAGAAGAATGTGTGAAAAGGATTCATATCTCTTGCTTTTTTTTCATAACTAGATCCAAGCTTGTGGCTTTATTTTTATATATTTTTAAAATTATTTTTTTTAAAAAATCAATGTTAACATGGAGGTTATGATAATGAAAGGGATAGTGGGGGAGAATATTAGAGATAAATGAAAATAAAAGAGAAAAATAAGAGATAAAGGGAAGTAGTTTCGATTAGTTTTAAAATTAGTGTAGTTATTATCTTTTTAAAAATATTTTTAGAAATAATTGAAGAGATAGTGGGAAGATATGTGGGATAATGGAGAGATATGTGGAAGTGAAGTAATTTTATTTATTTTTTTAAATAAACAATGAAATATAAAAATATAAAGGACATGTGGCAACAGATATGTGGGAGTGATGTTGTTTTATTTACTCTTGAAATAAAAAATAAAACATAAAAATATACTAAAAGACATGTAGCGTCACCAAACATAAACTTACGGTTCTACTTTTAGATAGATATATAAATAGATAGATAGATGATTCATTATTCTTTACAATTGCAAAACTAAATAATTGTAAAATGCCTACCAAAATAATAATAATAATAATAATAATAATAAATAATAATAATAATAATAAAAGGTTTGCTGAATGCCTAAAGATACATTGTGACATTTCAAAGTTTTGTCATTTTTTCTCCAAAAATTACATTAATAAAGTTTCCATGATATCTTTAAGATACTTTTAAGATTATTGTTGGTAAAAACAATCTCACAACTAGGGCAGATTAATTTGGATGTGAGATGATTGTAGTACTCTTAGATTCTGTTTAGTTATTAGAAAGGAATATAATGGAATTGATTAAAAAATTAAAATTAAAATAAATTAAATCATCATTTTTTCTCATTATTAATATGATAAAATTTATTATTATATATTACAAAAGTAAAAATTATCACATTCTCTAAAAATTTCATGAATCATAATTCTCAATCTCATGAATTAAATTTTACCTCTTTTTTATAAATGTGTTCGCCTATTTTTTTATCATTTTATTTATATTTTTATTTCTTTAACCCATTTCATTCCATTTCTTTCTATTAAAAAAATTAAACCTTAGACTTTTTAAGATACCAGGCGATTAAAAAAAAAATCACGAATAATAACAAGTTAGTTCCATGTATTTCGAGAAGATCGAAACATCAGGTGCTGGAAACAAAAACCTCTAATGCTTGTTGGAAGAGAAATGCTAACCAAAGCTTTTGGCCAAAAAAAAAAAAAACCCCACCAAAGCTAAAGTAAGTGCCATCTCAACGGATCCAATCAATTGCTTTTTAATTTCCCAAGAAAAAATGTAAAGCAATTGAATGCTGTTAGTGGAAATTAAGGGTTGTAATCATGGAGGGAGAAGTGCATTGTGAGAGGTGGGAGTTGTTAAATTGTTCAAAAGATATTTGTGGTATGAGATTTAGGGTCTGTTTGGTTCGAGGGGAGGGGAAGGGAGGTGAGGGGAGAGGAGGGGAGGGAAGGGGAGGGGGAGGAGGGGGAAGGGAGGGGAGGGGAGCTCCCCCCCAATTTGGAGGGGAGGCTTTGGAGGGGAGGGTCCTCCTAACCAAATGAGGGGAGGGGCTCCCCTCCTCCTAACCACATGAGGGGAGGGAAGGGTTCCCTCCCCCCCCAACCAAATGGGGCCTTAAAGATCTTTGAAGCTTTCAATGATGTTGGTAAAAAACAAAAAACAAAAAACAAAAAGCTTTCAATGATGCTTTATTGCAAATATCCAAAAGATTATCAATAAGCTAGCCTGTTAAGATTTGGACGAAGCTGTTAAAAGATTTCTATTTTTACCAGCAAAGCACTAGATTTAACTTGTAAGGGCATATCTATATAATTATAAGTATGGATTTTGAATTTTGAAAATGCCACCAAGTTAAAATCTTTTTGGGAACTCTTTGTTATCTTTTGTAACCTTATCAATCTAGATTAATTTGGACCCATTAAATTCATTAATGAGTATATTCAATTTTTTTTATATTTAAGATTAAAATATATAAAATTTTTCTGAATTTCAAAGTAGTTATACAAAATTCACTTTACCTTTAAAATTTTAAAATTAACTTCCTTGATCTTTTATCTTTTTTTTTTCAACCACAAACTTCATTATTTTTTAGTTATTTTAGTAATAAAAGTTGCTATATTATATTAAAAAAAGGCATAGTAGTTTATATGGCATTTGATGTTAACTATAGCTTTTAAAAAATTTTATCTATATTATTTTGTTATTATTAGCTTACATGGAACGCCATATAAGCTATTACAATTTTTTTTAATATGACATGTCTATTTTTATTAATAAGATAACTAAAAAATAATAATAGAGAAGTTCGAGATTAAAAAAATCAGGAAAGATAATTTTAAATTTTTAAAGGTAAGAGCATTTGTGCAATTGCCTCAAAATTTTAAAAAAATTGTATATTTTAGCCTCTTACAAAATATAAATTTTGGCCTTTGAACTTTTTCTTAATTATTGATTTAAAATAATAAGTCTTAGTAATTTTTTGACTGAGTACAACTCAATTTTTGTAATTACTTAACTTAATAAAGTACCACAGTTGAGCTGTATTAAATTTGAGTGAACATTTAGGGGCTCAGTTAATAATTGAGATAAAGTTCAAAGACAAAATGTTATATTATCTCCTTTTTTCTAAAAAAAACAAAAAGCAAAATCAAACAAAAGGAGTAAAGAACTGGGTTTGAATAAAAAAAACCCAATCTAAGCAAACATTGTTTTTGCAATAGACAAACCCAGAAACCTTAATTTTATCGAAACAGTAAAAGGCCTAAAGAAAAGAACCAACGACAATCTCAAGCCTATCACTTGTTTTCTAAAAACCCATAATCGAGTGAATGGCTGAATAGATCCAATCTTTTGATCCTCCTTTATACCTTTAGAGTGTGTTTGGTTCAAGGGAAGGGGAGGGGAGGGAAGGGGAGGTGAGAGGAGAGGAGGGAAGGGAAGGGGAGGGGGAGAAGGGGAAGGGGAGGGGAGCTCCCTCCTAATTTGGAGGGGAGGGGAGGGGCTCCCCTCTTCCTAACCAAATGAGGGGAGGGGAGGAGAGCCCCTTCCCTTCCCCCCAACCAAACACACTCTTACTCATATCATCTTTGTGTGTGCATGCCATTCCTCCTATTCCCCAAATCTTCTTCAAAATGTATCAATAGTAAGGTCAAATTGTATAAATAGCCACTGGTCTAATCCAAAACTACTCAATTTTACCACGTCACCCATAACAAACTAGACGTCATACTCTTATGATGTGGCAAGATCATTGCCATCCAAATAATCCCTGTGGGTGCTAAACCTCAAATTTGGAGGGAAAAAGGGAGTGAAAAATATATTGCATGTATTCTAGAAAATACACAACTTGGAATTGAATATGGAAACGGAAACATAAATTGGAAGAAGGGAGAAAAAAGGGAAATAACTTCAAAGACGAGAGAGAGAGAGAGAGAGAGAGAGAGAGAGAGTAATGGTTGGGTATTTATGGAGTGTAGCAATTCCAAACCCATAAATCTCCCACTTTTCTTTCTATCTAATTGGTGTCGCTCTCTGATTAGTTTAAGTTTCATTAGGGAATTGCGTCTTAGAGATAGAGTTTTTACCTAGTGAGGGATTTTTGTGAATTTTACAAGGGCGAGGTAAGATTATTTGAAAATTCTTTTGCTTTTCCCTTTTTGTCATGTCAATGGTTTCTAGCAAGGGGAAGGCTTTATGGCATTTGGCTTATTTTGCCTTAGATATGTTAGTGTGTGCTAAGGAATTTCTGTAGATGGTGATTTAAGGTTTTATGTTTGGTTTTCTCGGGGAATATCTTGGGATATATTTTATATAAGAGGTTTACAAGATTTAAAGGGGTTTTAGTTTTACCTTTTCATATAGATGAAATAGGGCATGAGATCAACTATTCCTTCTGGGGTTGTGGTGAAGAGTAGGAACTCCTCAGCCTGTTTAATTGTTAGAAAGAAAGGAGATGGGTTGGGTGGTGGGTATGGTTCTTCAAGCAACTCTCAAAAGTTGTATAAGCCAAATATTAGGAAAAAGGCCTAGTATGGCTCTAAGTGATTCAAAATAAAGTGATAAGTTGCTAATGCCTCTAAGTAGAAGGCTTGGTCCTAAGACTATTTAAGTCTATAATGGATTGACTACTTTAGTGGTATAATGGAAGGCAATGAAATTGATAAAAAGAGGGATAGAGTGATGTAAATTAGGCATAATGAGGATGCTATGATTGAGAAGAATGGTTTGGAGTCGAGGGAAATAAAGAGGACTAAAATGATAGTGCTTGATTTTGATGAATATGACGGTATGGACATAGAAAAGATGAAAAAGAGGTTTTTTTTTTATGATAATGATGGGGTTGGCTTTGGGGGTGAAGATTTATGAGACTAATGCATGCCACAAGAATTGGCTTTAAGAGTAAATTTGAAACAAGGTCAAGCAGACACACTCTTGATGATAGAAAAAACTTTTACTATGACAAGCGTGGTAGATTGTATCTAGGAGATACTATTGACCTCAACAGGTTCAATGTGAATAAGGATGATGCTCACCTATATCTATACTTGCTGAGAGATAAGTTTAAAGTAAATAAGACCATCGAGGTTCAGGGGAAAAATGGTGTTCTGGAGGTTATGGTTAATAGAAATAAGGTGGGTGACCCATTAGGATACTATAATCACCTCAAGCTTATAAAAAACAGATAAAATTTGCAAACTAAGGCCTCCACCAAAAGGAACATTCTAGTCCATTCTTTATCATATTTGGGAAAAAAAACTTGTTGAGAAGCCTAGTTTAGATGTTAGGCCCGAGAAAAAATGGGTAGCATCAAGAAAATCTCAATCAATCAAGGAGAGTAGGAGACATGATTGGGACTCTGAAGAGAGTAATACATTATTGAATCAAGGACTAGAAAATGCAAAACCCTTTAAGTCAATGAAGAGAGTAAGTTCTGAGGATGATAAGACTCCTTTATATAAAAAGCTCCTAACTGTAGTAATAAAAGAAGGAAAAGTAAGGCATGGGAGTGGTACAAAAAATTAGAAACTACGTGAAAAAATAAGGGAGATGCTACTGAGTGCAAGTTAGATAATAGATTATCATCCTTAAAAGAACATAGATCATAGGCGGAGCTACTTGTAATTGAGGGGGGGTTATATGCAACCCCTTAACTTGGGAAAAATAACATATATAAAATGTGGGTTTTGATATTTTGTAGTTTGTACCCCCTTTTTCTTATACTTCACGCTATCTCATTTTAATATTTTAAACTTTAAACCCATTTCAATCTTATATTTTATAATCTACATCTAAAATCTAACTTTTTAACTTAAAGCCCAATGGATATTAATCTATAATTTCATTGTATATAAATATAAATATTATTTATTAGTCCCTTAAAAAATAGGAAAAAAATCTAGTTTGACTAAACCAGAGCCACATCGTCCTCATCCCAAAAACTGCTTAGAGACTAGTCACAAAAAAAAAGCAATGAAAAATGAAGATTCAAGACTCAAGGTAAGCTTTTTGAATGTCTTTTTTGCTAGCTCATTATACTTGCAAAGTTAAATTAAATAATAAAGAATAATAAAGAAAGAAAGAGAAATAGTGCATTTGAAAGAGAAAAATTATTTTTCTTGTGCCAAGAATCTTGACTCCCTTGAACTAGGATCCTAGCTCCACCACTATAGACTATCCAGATGCAGTTTACATCAATTAAAGGGGTACAACCTATTGGTCAATAATCAAAGCAAATGATGATGCTATTTAAAAGCAATTGAATGATGATGATAATGAGGCCAAGCCCATGGTTGATGGTTTTTCCTTTGCTTGTATCTCAGATGAAGTGTTAAGTCAATTAACAAGGAAAACTTAAGAAAAGATGGAAAAAGAATTGGAGAAGAAGCAAAGAGATGGTAGTGCGAGTGATAGTGAAATGGAACCTAACCTTACAAGATTTGCCAATTTTAGGCATGATATGAATAATATGGATAATGATATCAATGAAGAGATTTATAAAGCATGCAAGTAATTTAGTGAAAAATTAGATGACTGAAAATGTTTCTAGTGTTAGCTTTAAATCCCAGAAATCAACCTATCACCTACATGATGGAACTAAAAATTCATTGTCTGGATGTGATCCTCTTTGGCCACATGAAAGGAAAAGTAGAAAACATTCATGCAGGTAGTAAATTGTGCTAGCAATTTCCAAACATAAATTTGGATTCAAGAGTGTCTCTTTTACAGTACTAAATAGATGCATAAAGGAGACAAGAGAATTATGAGAAAATTAGTTTTCATTTTATTGATGTTGATGGCAATGATCTAAATGATGACACTTGCAATATATATGGAGACATAGGGGATTTAATCTATTATGATGGTTGTCCATCAACATTCCATCAAAGCTGCTTGAATATATAGGTATGTCTGCATATTTTATTAGTCATGTAACACCTCTTATTACATCCTATATCATTATTTGGTATGGCTCATAGTTTGGTTGTTTCTTGTTTCTTGTAAGACTTTAGCCTATTAAAATATATGCTTCTCTTGCTAACATTTGCTTGTCTTTCTTTTATTTTGTTTTGTTTTGTTTTTTTGCTTTTTGTCGGGAAGGGGTGAAATGTTACTTTCATATTATTATAGTTGAGCTGAGTCCTTGTTCATGTGTTGAGATTTGGTGCTCTAAGACCAAACTTGTTAATGCTAGTTTTTTGGTTCTTACACATTGAATGAAAAGGATTGTCTTGATGCATGCTTAATCTAGACTTGTTATTTGTGCCTGTGACTCTAACTCAATGAATAGATGCATGATATATTATTTGTGGAGCTGAAGCCTCTAGCTTTTGGTAACTATATTAAATTTTTTATTGGTCATTTATCTACATTATATGTTGAATTGGTTTCCTTACCAGATTGATGCAATGGTAACAAACATGTATAAAAACTACACTATTTTGTCACCATTGATGGTGTTGACTTGTTGAATGTTTTGTGTGCTAAAAATTTATTGTAGATGCTTCCTCCTGGTCATTGGTCCTCCGATACCTTCTAACTCGTCCCTTAATTCCCATCGGATTAAGTGATTGAATAACTATAGCATGATGCTAAGTATTGAACACACACATACACATGGCTAAATAGCATGCAAGTGATTATGTGATGAAATTGCTCAAGTAAATGCCTATGATATGTCATTGAGAATGAAAAGTTACATGATCATGGATGGGTAGGAATTCGTTGGAGTGAGTATAAGGCATTATAGAAATCCACATGATGTGGTTTCTATTGAGAGTTATATATAATATTTGGCATAGTTAAATAAATGCAAGTACTTATTGTCATTATTTTATGAGAATGACATGAGTTGGGCAAAACATTCAATACCAACAGATTCTTTATAGAGAAGACGATGGGGCCTTGAAAATTACAACAGCACGAGGGCATTTTGAGAAATGCACTATTCCTCCCACTATGGTTGTTAAACAATGGCTAGAAACCCAACTTTTAGTTTAGGTAGAATTGGTAAATCAAGCTAACCTAAACAAAGTTTGAAAATATTTAAGCTCAAATTTAGTAAAATAACACATTAAATATTTAGGTCAACTTGAATTGGCCCAAAAAAATTTTGGCCAAACTTATGCCCAATTGGGCTTGGCCTAAATAATCATTAATTTTTTTGTAAAAAATATATAAAAAGTGTGTTTTATATTTTTTATAATAATAAAAATTTAATTTTAAATTAATAATTAATTTTTTTAAAAAATTAATAATTTGAGTGTTCAAGTTTGCCTAAATAAGAACAAAGCTTAAGAATGTTTAAGTTAAATTTAACTATATGAGTTTTTTTTATAAATTTAAGTTTAAATTTAGCTTTGGTCTGGATTATTGGCCAAAAATTACATTCATCAAATTTTATTTTTATCAAAAGCTACCCAACATTTGTTTTATCATCATTTGTGGCCCCTTCGGGAACACATCCTCTAGGGTTTTTTGTGGGTGCCCTTAAGAGCTTCAACTTCAACTAGTTTGGGCTCCGTTCGGCATTCTCATGCTCTTTTGCTTCCCGCTTCTAGAGAGACACAGTGGACAGTAGAGCGAGAAATCATTAGCCATGGTGAGCCAACTCGTTCAGATTCGGTTACCTATACGATCATAACTTTCGGCAGTATTATCTCTGGTCTTTTGGACCTTAATCTGATGGTTTCTTTGTTGTTGTTATTGCTATTGCAGTCTCTTGTAGCGAACGAGGATTTTCAGCACATTCTTCGTGTTCTGAACACCAATGTCGATGGTAAGCAGAAGATCATGTTCGCACTTACCTCCATCAAAGGTATTGGGCGTCGCTTCGCCAATATCGTCTGCAAGAAAGCTGATGTCGACATGAACAAAAGGTTTCTTTTTCATCAATCTCTTATGGCTGTTAGAAATTGGATCAATTTTAATTTGGTTTGGAATGAACAAAATTGATGGGTTCACTTCAATGAGCGTGATTTTTATGGCTTCAGATTAAGAAATTGTGTGATTTTTCTTTTTCTTTTTCTTTTGCTTGACCTTCTTCTAGTAGGAAGCATTGTCCAGATGTAGGGCATTATTGTGTATTTACAGGATTAAGTGTTCTGGACCATATTTTCGTGAGTTCATTCACCTTGGGCAGTTGGGCAGTGAATTTCTTCATGAAAACTAACAGTGATGAAAGTATAGTATCCCTTTTATTTGGATCAAAATTTTGCTCCCATCTGTATTACATGCAAGTGGTGCTTCAACTTGTGTGTGTGTTTTTAACTTGGATCGTGCAGCTTGTTGTTTTATCATTTGGAAACTGTTAGTATAACTAATTGAATTTGGTTTCAAATGATTGACTGAAGGGCTGGTGAACTATCGGCTGCTGAACTTGATCAGCTAATGACAATTGTGGCAAATCCACGCCAATTCAAGATTCCTGACTGGTTTCTCAATAGGAAGAAGGATTACAAGGATGGTAAATACTCTCAGGTTGTTTCCAACGCATTGGACATGAAGCTTAGGGATGATCTTGAGCGTTTGAAGAAAATAAGGTTGTTCATCTGCTACTGAACTTGTTAGCTAATTGTTCACCCCAATTTCCCAATTCAAAGGATTCTGCCCCACTCAACAAAGCACATCTAGTATATTCCATATATATAATCACACACAAACATTTTTCTTTGCCTCTGTACAGAACTGCTTTACCAAGTATCTTTTAAGTTGTCATTTGTTTTCTTGCTGGTTTTGAGTCTATGTTATTGTTACATATGATGTGCTGTCATTAATGGTCAAGAAAGGCATGAAATAAACCACATGTTTGAGTCATCCTTATTTTTTGTGGCCATTTATTCTATGTATTGTGGGGATAATCTTAGCATTCTTTTTTATGATTCTCTTGCCACATCCAAGTAGTGTTGATCATTCTCATCTTGTGATGTAATGTGATGTGATTTGTTGATATGATGCAGAAACCACCGTGGTTTGCGACACTACTGGGGTCTTCGAGTTCGTGGACAGCACACCAAGACCACTGGACGCAGGGGGAAGACTGTTGGTGTCTCCAAAAAGCGTTGAATCTGTTGTCGTCCAAGATCTTTTTCAGTTTTTCTCTGCCCAAAGTTTTGCTGCTCTAGTTCCGCATGGAGCTTTTGTTGGTTTAGTAGATTTACAGAATGTCAAGATGTTCTGCTTTACCTTTTTTAACAACTCGGTATTGAGCGGAAATATTCCTCTACGCTATAGTATCATTATCTTGAGTTCCAGAAGATCATGATTATTCGTTTCCGTTATATTGCAAATTTTCTTTTTTTCTTTTTGCTTGCATGATGTGACAAATTCCTTGATTTCTTGTTTTGTTCTGCATTTATGCAGTAAACCATTTTAATTTGGTCGAAACAGGATAGTTAATCAACATAGCGTTGTTTCTGCAATATTATGATGAAAGTGATACCGCCGTTGCAATTCTTCCATAGAGAGCAAGTCTTGTGGAAGACCATATCTATATTCATATATGGCTTGGTGGTTAGTTGTCAGAAAGTTTGTTTTGGAAGAAAAAAGATAGAGAATCACATTGAAGGATAACTCAAGAAATTTATTTGCCAACAAGGATTAATGTAAAATTTATTGTTAAAATGAAAACATTGACTTGTTTCTTAAGTGGGACCTTTGGATGTGATTCTCCAAGAAAATATTTTCTGGGAAGGAAAAATGTCCTTTTCTTCAAATTTTTTCTATAGTTTTTTGCCTTCTTTTCTATGTTCTAAAAGGCTATTGTGGCTGGAATCACTTTCGGGAGCACTGAAATGTAATTTTGGGACCATCACGACGAGGATTTGGACACAGCACAAGACATAGTAGTAAGTTATTAACGCTACTATGTTTCTTTCAGTTGATTGTGAATGCGCAACAAGTGTAGATGTTAAAACTTTGTGAGAACTTACAAGAGGAAGAATGTTCTTGTATATCAGTTCTTTGCTTTATGCCTTTCTTGAGCTGAGAATCAACTCGTTTGCCATCCCCAAGGCCTCTGTTATGTGGAACTCGTGTATTGTATCAGTCATTAAGCTCGGCTCATGATACATCACATAAATTATAACCATCCTCTTTTTTTAAATTGCCACTTCCTGTGCTGATGACAAAGAGATGGCGATAATCCAATAGAAGATGCTTGCTTACTTTTTTTTTTTTGGAGCAAATCTTACTTGGTTGCTTTATTCAACCAAGATTTTAAAAAACAAGAAAAAACTAAGTTCGCCACAGTACATTTGCCAAAGGTGATCTTCACTAGCTTTTGAATAATACATTTGCTAACGAGAAAATTGACTGGTATGTATAATTAAATTATTGGGAAAATAGCAATCAAAGGACTGGCGGAGTAAATTTATATCAATCAAGGATTAATTATTATCAAAACTTGAATGGAAAATAAACTCGAATGAACTGTTGTTAATTTATAATAAGTTATTATTAAAATTTAAATAAATTTTTATTAATAAAAGACTAATTTAAATTAACAAGTGATTTTCAACTTATATGAATTTACTATAGTGGTCCGTGTTTGATATTTTCCTTAAATTATTTAAAATTTTAATGGCATATATGCTTTAAATATTTTTAATATATTATATTTATATAATAAAAATTATAAATAATGAACATCAATATTCTTTTTACAATAACACTTTTTATTATTCAAGAACTCATCTGACTTTTGAAAAATATATTTAAATACAAATTTTAATACAATGTAATAAATGATTTTTTGGACAAATAAATTTTTGATAAATTGGCTTTTAGTTCACAAAAAAAAGTGTATTGAGAATAAAAATTGGTATAACAAAAATATTATTTAAATTTATGCCAAAAAATTGGTATAACACTATTTATAAAAAATCTTTAAATGATCACGATGGTGATGACGTTGTCATATTTTCTATTTACAATTTTTCATATGTAAAGATGTAGATATATTTTTCCATATAAGACAAAATAATTTTAAAATTTATTTAAAATTTAAAAAATCAATTTATAAATTTTGATATGTACTACATCATTTATAAATTATATTACACACAAATTATAAATAATAAATTTTATATCTTTTATTCAACATCGCATCCATTACTCTTCTTTAGAGATATTAATTAGGAGCAGCCTTAAAAGGTTAAAACCTAAACAGATTGATCTTTTTAAAATTCAATTATATTTTAAAAGTCTATTTTCCATAACTCACCTTCGACCTTTAGGGTTAAAGGGTTAGCCTTAAGGGCATCAACCTCTTTGTTTTTTTTTTTATTTTTCAAATTAAAAATCTAAAGAAAACATATTAAAAATTTCAAAAAAAAAAATTATTGCACATAACTATAGTTGGTAATTTAGGCTAGCCTGAATCTTTAAGTCCAATATGAATAAGTTAGCCTAAAAAAATTAGGGTGGGACTTAACTATATAAACTTTTTTAAGAAGTAATGATTTTTTAAGGCCAATTTAAATAAGCTATCTCGAATTAATCCTGACCCAAATAAATCCAACCACTAAAAATTTATATCCTATATATATGTAAAGTCAGTAATTTTGGCCAAGTATGACGGACTAGCACGACTTGATTGAAAAAAGTTAAAATTGGACTTGACTTTTTTAAGATGGTATGATAATTTAAGTCTGATTTAAATAAGCCTAATTTTGCCCAAATTATCAGCTATACACATAACATTAAGTCTAAAAAAATAAATTTAAATCAATCTATACAACAACAAAATTTAAGTTTAATAAAAAATAAAAACATCCAAAATTAACCCCCATAACAATTGAACATTATTAACACTATCGGCTAAATGTTGATAATTTTTTTTATTATCAATATTAATATATTTGATATTTTTCTTTAGAAATCTCGTCAATGGTTAAGGTTTTCTTTTAATGCAGTGCTTGTTTTTTTTTCATATTGAATTTTTTAAAAAAAATGTAAAAGAGTTTAAAATGGTTGGCACTAGTTTTGAAGTGCCAACACTTTTATTTTCAAGTTTAAAAAAATTAATTCTTAATTTATTATTTTATATTTTAAAATAAGGGTTTAACCTTAAATTTTTTCGGGAGCTCAACCTTAATTGACGCTCGACTTTTCTTAAGAATTTTGATAATGTCATACATAAAAATATGACCGGAGAAAGTTTATGGTACTTTGTTGTAGTTGGTCCGGAGTCGCCACACAATTCTCGGACTGTGTTTGTCTCCCTTCCCAGAGGATGGCCGGAGGGAACCCTCAGAACAAGTCATCGCTCCCGAAGCCGCCGCCGCCGCAGCCGTCATCAGCCTCATCTTCCCACCGCAAATCCCGTTGGGAATCCACCAGCAACGCCAGCAAGAAATCTCCGGCGTCCGATCCTAGATCCGGCGAATCCAAGAATCCCAAACCCTCCACCGCTGCTCCATCCCCCAAAACCAAACCCACTCCAAGTCCCGCTCATGCTAAACACCACCCTAGCGAAAATTTAACCCATCAATCAGCGGGGTCCGCCGCCCGAGCTCCCTCTCCCGGGGCTCCGTTTCCCTTTCCGGATCTTGCTAGCTTGGGGCCACCACCTACGCCGGCGTATGGCTTCCACATGCTCGAGCGCCGTACGATTGTTCTAGCAGACGGTAGCGTCAGATCCTACTTTGCTCTCCCTCCTGATTATCCTCTTGATCCACCAGGGAGATTGTTCCCACCCCCATTAGGTCCCGGTTTCGATCCGGGTCGATTCGGAACCCGATTCCTCCCGGACCACATCACCTTGATGATCAAGATGGAGGGCGTGGTGGGAGGCACCAAGATTACTGGGATTCGATTGGTCTTGATGGGCGTGGTGGTGGACCTGTTGAAGGTTCGGCGAAGAGGAAGTTTGTTGGTGATGAGGTGGAAAGAGATGACCTTGCTCGGCAAAGAAAGCAACTTTTGCACGATGCTAATGTTAATCCAAATGGGTTTCCACCAAGGGGCGAGTTTTCTAGGGGGATAAGCGGGCCGTTCAAGCATGATTTGATGGATCCTGGACGAGAGTCTGAATTGAGAGCTTCCAAATATATGAGGGTCGGTGGGGCTTATGAAAATGTAGGTTTTAGGCAATCTGGTGGCATTGGTGATAACGTGGCCCTTAAACATTTGGAGGTTGATCAGGATGCACTTAAGAAAGCGTTTCTTCAATTTGTTAAGTTAGTTAATGAAAATGTTACGCAGAAGAGGAATTACTTAGAGGACGGAAAGCATGGGCGGATACAGTGCGTTGCTTGCGGCAGGTTTGATATGTGTTGGATATGTCTGTCTGTTTTTAGTTTTGTGGTTGGACTATGCATCACAAAAGGCTGTGTTTTTGTTGCCTGTCGTTAGGAAATCTTATGTGGCAACTCAGTTGCCATCTGTTATGATTTTTAGGTTTTATGATACTTATCCCATCTCGTATCCCGAATAGTCGATGATGCATGTAGTTTGTTGGTTGTAGTTTCCCTTTTCTACTCTCCGGAAGATGAATTCGCATCTATTGGTCTATATGACGTAGCTGTAGCTTCATAGAATCTTAATGGTCCTATTTTATGATGTTTTACTGGAGCAAAGGAGGCTAAGAAAGTGCTTGTGATCTTTTTGATAGATTTAGATCCACTGTGAAATTTACATACTGGAAAGTATTGGAAAACCATGACTGATTTTCTGGCAAATTTTATTTAGGTCTGTCATGAAGTCAAGTAGGATACTTTTCTTTATGATGATGTAAGTGGAGGATTTGAATTCTAACTTCTAAGCCTTAAAATTCCTCCTACCTGTAGATACCTTATCGGTTTCATGATTTGTGTTGTTTCATTGCCGTCATTTTTATTTTTTCCCCCTTCTTGTGAATCATGGGGAGTATCATTTCTGGTTGCATGCTCCCTTATGCACAATTTGGTGTTGATTTACTTAGCTGCTATGTTTTTGTTGCTGTTATAGTCTTTACATTAGAACAACTTGTAAGTGGTATTGTCGCATGCTTAATAGAGTCATTTGGTCTCCATTCTTATGATGTATCTCTTGCCTGTCTCTTGGAGATTGGCATGTAACATGACATTTGTCAGAGTTTTTAATCTCTGTTTGGGTGCTAGATGGCTTTTGGTGGATGAATATCCATGTTTATGGAGTTCATCTGAAGCTTCAAAGTTATTATACCTTCTACTAAGGGCGGAGCTTTGTGTTGTCAACTGGGCAACATGTCTGCTTCATTTCTGATTGTGAAGTCACCGTTTTCTATAAAATGGCTGAAGCCATGATAAATTCTGACTAGTTATTGATTATAACCTATGAAGGATCTTTTCTTCCCAATTATATGCATAGCATCTCTAGTCATTTGTTTAGGTAGGATTGGATGGGCAATTCCCTTCCCTTGATTTGATTATTGCTATGTTAGGTACTACAGCTGTGTCAATATGATGCTTGTGTTAAAAGACTTCAGGGTCATGAGCATTTAAGATGAGGGTTGCAAAGCTGCTTGTGATGATGTGAGTCTGCCCTTGCACTTTGGGTTGGACTAGGATTGATTTTTTTATTGGGTGTCATTTCTGTAGATGGTTGGGTTTGCTGTTATGATAGAAGAATTTGAGGGTATAACTTTTGAATCTGGGTGTCATTTCTGTAGATGGTTGGTTCAAGCCTTTCTGATTGGGTCAGACAGTTAGTTTGAAATTAGGTATTGCGGGGGTAGAACTTTTGAATCTGGTCAATTTCCACATTGATTTGTATTTACAGATTTGATCTATATTCATTTATCATATTTGCAGGTTTTTATGGCCTTCTTGTCTAGTGGTTCTGCCTTTGCCTTTTTGTGCTGGTTAGAAGGCCTGTTTTACTTGGTCATCTTTGACCATCCTTTTATGTTATGAATGGTGGTTGGCAGGTGATTATTAGTGAATTTGACATTTGTATATATTTGCACACCCAAACTTAATCTTATGTCAGGCACTGATTTTTTGTTTTTGTTATCTTGGCAATGTTTATCCATTTTGGATGAACATTTGGTTAGAGTGTTAGACACTATACTACATGTTCCCTATGTTGATGTTAACTATGGTTCTGTAAGATTTATTTATGGGGCTGATGCTGTCTTTTGGCTCCCCCTCCAAAAAAAAAAGCGCGATGTGATATACTTCTATAATACTAGAATAGAATTGAATAGATGTAGAAGAGGGATAGGAGGAGAGAAGAAGAAGGGATGAGGCTTAGAGAAGATGGGAGACGAGAGGGTTAAGAGAAGGAGAGAAAGAGAGACGAGACTTTCTGAATAATTCCAATCTATTGATTACACACCATACAACAAAACACAAAGGTATTTATATAGCCGCTGAATGTACCCAACGGAATGTACCCAACGGCTAGTAACTAACTAACGTCAAAATTACAAAAACATAACAATACCCCCCCTCAAAAAGATCCTTGCCCTCAAGGATCATTAATAAGAAACTGGGGAAATTTCTGCTGTAACTGATGTAGAGCCATCCAAGATGCTTCCTCCTCAGGTAGTTGTTTCCATTTGATTAGGACTTCGGTGATAATACGTCCTCTCTTCCTGCCAACTCTCTTTTGTAGAATGCTTTCAGGTTCCAAGGTTGGAGGTAATTCTGGCCAATCAAGAGGCGGATGCCTTTGCTTAACTTTAGGATCTGGACATAGCTTTAATAAAGAAACATGGAAAGTTGGATGTATTCTAGATTCAGCAGGTAGTTCCAACTTGTAGGCAACAGCACCTATCCGTTCAATGACCTTGTAAGGACCAAAATACCTAGGAGCCAACTTTTGGGTACTCCTTGCTGCTGCAGAAATTTGTCTATATGGCTGCAACTTGAGGAAAACCCATTGACCAACAGCAAACTCTCGATCTGTCCTATGGGAATCAGCTTTCTGCTTTATCAAATTGGCTGCTCGATGAAGGTGATGCTTCAAAACAGCCAACACAGCTTCTCTAGCTGAAAAGGTCCTGTCTAAAACATCTAAAACAGAATCATTAGGCAAATAAGGACAATGAATAGGAGCTTTCTGACCGTATAAAAGTTCATGTGGGGTTGCTTTAGTGGCTGTATGAAATGTGGTGTTATACCACCATTCAGCTTGTGATAACCACTTGCTCCAATCCTTAGGTTGCTCGCAACACATGCATCTAAGATAGGTTTCTAAGCACCTATTTAGGACCTCGGATTGCCCATCCGTTTGAGGGTGATATGCAGTTGAAAGTTGTTGTTTGACCCCTCTACCATTTCTGACAAGGTATCTACCTTTCCGAATCTTTCTTCCAGTCTTGCAACTCGCTCATCCATTTCTTGTTGTTTCTGGGTGCGAGTTTTCACCATATACCAGAAACATTCAATACGGAGATGCCAAGGATTGCCTGGCCCTGGTACCACTAATGCATAAGAATTAGAGAAAAGGGAAGGAAAGAGAGAAAATAGAGGAAATAGAAAGAGAAAGAGAAAGAGACTAGAGAGAGGAAGATAGAAACAGGGAACTCAAGTCTATTATTTCCAGAACTGATTACAACAGTCTTTTTGGTGCCCTTTTATAGCCCATATCTGACACCCTTAAGTAACTATCCTAACAACCTATTAACCTTTTAACTAATATTATTTATTTATTTATTACATAACACGGTGTCAACTAGAATTTAGCTTGACTATACCTGTCCGATCTGTACAATCACATCTTCAGTATTTGTTATGGCCTTCAGACTCATTTCACATCCTTTTTTCCTTCCTTTTACTTGTTTGTCCTTTTTATATTCGGTGTCTTTGTCTTGCTCAATGGTACAGTGCTCTGTTGAAAATAGAATTGATTTGTGTGGACAGTTGTTGAGTTCAAAATATGACAGAGTAGAAGTGGGTTGTGGATGAGCTTGGGAAAAGATTACTGAGATTCTTCGTGCTTGTATGGGTGGATGATCTTTGAAGTTTTTAACATCATTGATGACCTGTAATTTGGTGATGCCCTTTTAAGGGTCTGTTGCTTGCTATATTATATTACTTAACGGCCAGCTATTGTTTGGTGATTTGGCACAAATAATCTAGCTTTTTTTGGCTAGGATATGCGTCATTATGATCCTATGGAAAATTTCTTCTCAGGTTGAGTTTCTTGACATCATGTTTTGTGTGCACTCATGTTTATTTGCATGCAATTGACTCAACCCAGCAGTTTTCTAAGTTCTGCAATGGAAACATAAGGTTCCATTTTAGATTTTTTTCTCTTGTCTCTCTTTAGAGAGATTTATTTATATTGGATATTTCTGTATGCTTGCTCTATAAGTATTTATATTGCTATGCTATGCCATGCCTTTGCTGCTCAAAGTATGGGATGTGACTTAGAATATAGGTGATCCTTGTCTAGACCAAAATATGTCTTGGGTGTGATTACATATCGAAATTGATGCATGTGTTCTGTTCCTTCATCATTATTATTAGAATCTTGACTCTCAGGCAAGTTCTGGATGACAACCTGAAATGTATTCTTCAATGCCCTTGATATTTCAACTTTCAGGTCTTCTAAAGACTTTCCAGATATGCATGCTCTCATTATGCACACCTACAACTCAGATAATGCTGATTTGCGTGTTGATCATTTGGGCTTACACAAAGCCTTGTGTGTTTTAATGGGTTGGAACTACTCAAAGCCTCCTGATAACTCAAAGGCATATCAGTTCCTTCCTGCTGATGAAGCAGCAGCAAATCGGGATGATCTGATCTTGTGGCCTCCTATGGTGATCATCCATAACACAATTACTGGAAAGGGAAGAGATGGTCGCATGGAGGGCTTGGGGAACAAAACAATGGATAATAAAGTTAGAGGTATAAAGTGTCCCTCCATTCCTTGTTATCTTCTATTGCATTGCCTCATAGTTCAGACTAAGTTCAAGCAAATGAGTAGCATGCTTATTAAGCTGACACTTGACAGCTGCCTTTAAGAAAACTGTGGTAGTGATCTGTGCAATTCTATGAAATTGTTTGGTTGCAATATTTTAAGAAAGTACTCCATTAGTCTGAAATCTAATGGAGTACTTTCATTACATTGTCTTTTCTATGGATGACAAGATGATGGTCATTTTGATTTTCTAGTAGTTTCCAGTAACACAGAACAATTTGGAGGCACTAGATGCCCATACTGCCTTTGGAATGATGGTTGAGAGTTGCAGCATTGAACTTTACTTTTTATGCGCCCCATTGGTTGGTGGTTATTTATTTGGGTTAAGAAGGGTGACTTTTAAATACCTGATTTTATTCTGTATAGAGGTTATGCCAAATTTGTGTTGGTATATGCTTTTTTTTTTTTTGGTGAAATGATGTGTGCCTTTCTTATTTAGTTGGGAGTTATTTTCATGGGGATGGAGAGTTGAGATTTTGTGCAGCTATCCTCTTTGCCATCTTTTCATTTAATATTGGGCACTACTTCCTGATCAATTTTTTGGGAATAATTGCTCATTACAGCAACCGTTTTTCCTAGAGTTCTGCATTTGATTCTAATACTTTTTCCTTCCATTTGGATATAATTGCATCATTTGTCTTATTTTTGCTGTAGTTGCTTGATCTGGTCTTGCTTCTGAATTGCACCTGGTATTGTTGTCAAAGTATGGTCCTTTTGTAATTTGATTGACCTTGCATTACCACTCCTTCAAGTAGCAGTTTGACATATGTAGTTAATCAGCAGTTGTGCTAGGCCTCCTTGTTTTCAGTTACAGCTTATGAGGCGGTTAAAAGATTGCTGAAGCAATACCTTAAAGCAGGTTTCTTGAAGCTGTTAATTGCTTCTATATAACTTTTTTTTTCCCCACTAAGCAAGGCCTCAAATTGTCGCCCTTTAAATTTAGGTGGATGATATAAAAATAAGTCAAGGTTGTAGAGTAAAAAGGAGTTTTAGTTTAATTGGTATTAGTGTTAAAACATAGAAAGCTAGAAGTCCTCAAATTTGAGTGGGCTCAAATTAGTTAATATAGGAAAAAAACCCTAAAAATTAAGTGAATACTCAAATTCTCGCCCTTTTAATTTTGGTGTATGATATAAAAATAACTTGAGTTTTAGAGTAAAGATGAATTTTAGTTAGTTGGTATTAGTGTTCAAAAATAGAAAGATAGGAAGTCCCCAAATTTGATCGGGGTCAAATAGTTAATTTAGAAAAAGGCAAGTTCCCCCTAAAAGTTGTTATGAATATATTTAGTGTGAGTGTAGTTGATTTAGTCAGGAGCTGGAAAGTAGAGCTTGTAGAAATTAGGTTTTACACAGATCATTTTCAAGGTTTGTTGTGGCTGTCTCTTGTCCAGTTGTGGTAAGTGAAAATGTTAACCTTTGATGCAGGGACGTTGGTATTGTAGCTGTTCATCATCATCATCAGCTCTCAAATAATTAGAACTCCATTTGGTTTTAATGCAAGTGACCTTTAGCCTTGTCTGCAATTTAGTTTTGACAATGCATTCTTGCTGATGATTTTTTGGCTGCTTCGGACTTTTGGAAATTTTACAATTGTGAACTCAATTTAGTAGATTTGCTGGTTATTTTTTCTTTGTTAATTTATATGCAGTATAGTCAACTCATGCTACCTTAGCTTGGCTTCTTAATTAATGGTAGTATATCTACAGTGTTGCAATGTGGTTGCCATGTTGATCCTCAGGCTGCTGGTAGTCTGATTTAGATTTAAAAGCATTTAGCTCTTTTGTGATTTTGGGTGGGTTAGGAACTTGGGTGACTAGACTATGTCAATCTTTGTGATGGTTGATACTTCTTAGATACTGAATAGATAGTTTTTTGGTTGGATATGCACTAAACTGTATTCCCATTGTTCAATCTTTTCAATTGAATATAGAGCACAAGGGCATCTAAGTTGTTTGGGCATCAACTGTCGCAGTAACAATCATTGTTTGTCATCCCAAGTACGACCCTTGAATTTTAAGTAGGTGTCCCCTTCCATGGGCAGAAGGCAGGACCGGTGGTGGTGGTATTTGAAATTCTAATAAATAAGGTTCTCAGTTCTTACAGAACATTTCGATGGATAGAATTTAGAGTGGAACAAAATATATCAGGAAATTGTTGAAGAAATTATCCAATCCCTTGTTTGGATGATTTATGGTAATAATGATAGGAAAGAAACCCAAACAAATGATATATTTACAAATTGGAAAGCTGGGGAAGCGGAAAAGCTTTCAATGGATATTTTGTGAACTTCAGATTGTATTGATCTAGGGTTATAAGGAAAATGAAGTGAAAAGCAGCTCACATGGTATAGATTTTTGAGTCTTCAGCTTTGTCTTGCTCATCAAGCGTTGAAGCTACCCTCTCTTCCTTTAATTAAATGACACGCTCACAAACATATATGTTGCTTGCTTATGCATAGATCTTTGTGTCTTTGGTCTGTCATGTCGTATAACTGATAGAGGCAAAGGTAGCGTGGTGCTTAAGTCCCATAGTTTTGTAGTATAGGATGTTTATTTGGATATATTTAAGTGGATTAGTGCCTAGTAATCCCAGTTGAGTATATCAGTTGGTATTTTGATTGTGAAAGCCCTAGAAAGGGCATTCTCCAGCAAGAAAATTTAGTCAAGTGTCATAGATGGTAGCTGCCAGGATGTCAGCTCTTCAAGGAGGCAATTGATAGGGATTAAAGTGGTACAGGATGCTTCAGTTTCACACTGAATGGTATAGACTATAGAATGCTTAATGGGATATTTAAGTGGGTCGGTACTTTTTTAGGGCCATGTACAAACACCTATGCTTTCATGCACGCGGGCAGCATTTTTAATGTCATTTGAGCCTTCAGTTTCATTGTATCATTTCAAGATGACGTGCGTTCTTTCTCTCTTTCTTTCTTTCTTTCTTTCTTTTTGCATGTGCAAATGTGCATCTCTCTTTAGATGAAGCCTTTCAATTAATTATGTTTGACTTCTGCAATTGCCATTTAGATATATGTGAATTTACACCAGGTGCAGATTTTAGGGGTTTTTGCAATGTTTTCTTGACTGCTTCTTGATTTTTTAGCTCCATTCTGCATTTGGCATTTCTTAAACGGTTGTTACTTTTGAGGTAAGCTGGTTACTCTTTAAGAAATAGTTTCTTTTTAAGTGTTAAGTAATTTTGTCTAAACCCTGCCATCACTATTGGCGACAACAGATATTGCATGACATTGATCTCGTGTCAAATTAGATAATGCTTCTATTGTTGAATGCAAATATGGGTGAGTTAGATTGAAATTATCTCCTACCTCTCAGTATCCTTCTTATGGTGATGCATTCCTTACTGTCATACCATTTGTTTTCTTTCTTTCTTTTCCTTGTTTTTCTTTTTAATTTTGGGCATGGCATTTGCTCAATGATCTAAATTTCTCAGTTTCTACGCATAACAAGGCAGCATTTCATGGCCACTGCTTCTATATCTGACGGGACCATAAGGTTTTAGCATTTAGGAGTCCACTTAAATATCTGACTCTGCTGAATTTGTCTTGATGATATATTTTTGCCATTTTCTGTTCATGGTTTTCCAGAACTTGGAATTGGGGGTGGCAAATCAAAGTCATTATATGGAAGAGAAGGTCATCTGGGTATATCACTGATTAAATTTGCCGGGGACCAATCCGGTGTTTGTGAAGCCATTCGGCTTGCCGAGCACTTTGAGAAGGAGAATCATGGACGCAAGGTGTGGGCCCGTGTGCAGCCCCCGGCATTATTAGGTAAGGACGATGAGAACAATCCGAATTTAGTAAAATATGATGAGAAGAAAGGAGAGAAGAGGAGGATCTTGTATGGCTATCTGGGGACTGCTTTTGATCTTGAAAAGATTGATTTTGACACTAGGAAGAGGGTGGTGATAGAGAGCTTGAGGGACAAAGCTCAACCATCCAGGTAGTTTCTGGATGAAATCTTATCCTCAATTGATGATTATAGCTTTAGCTTCAATGTAATTTTCAAGTCACTTTCTGTGGTATGTTAGGATGCGGCCAATGCCGTTAAGTGGAATTTTGGTTTCTTCAGGGTGGTTGTGTTGGGAGGTGAGTCTGATTGCCTCCTTTAATCTGATGCTCTGATGCGCACTCTTTTTGTGCGTTTTGGAGTAACAGTTGTGTGGCAGCTTAGGTACATTGGCTGAAAGGAATCTTCAGAAGTTAACGGAACCATCTCAAATTATCAAACCTAATAAAAAAAAAATTAACATCAGTTTTTTAACCAAATTGATTCAGTTTATTTGATCAGTTTTGTTGGGTTTATGCCTCATCAAAATTAAGAGTTTATGAGCACTTTAGATTAGGAGTCCAAGACCAGTCTCACTTTGACCTTTGGTAGATGTGAAGTAGTTTTTTTTTTTTTTTTTGGTTTGTCAAAACGGTTATTAAACACACACACACACACATGTAAAAATGTAGTTAATTTAAAAGCTTGAGTTAATTTTGTTTTTTTTTTAAAAGCTGAATAACTTCTAAACAAACTATATAACATTGTAGATCAAAAAATTTTATTACATCTTTTCAAGATGGTACATGCATTTCTTGATATATCAAACTGGTTTTCACAAGTTATCGTTATGTTCCGTCAAATTTAGAGATGAATTGGATCATATGTGTTTGAAGTTTGTGTTTTCAGAAAGCAAGTTTTGAATGACCAAAATAACTGCAGGTTGTTCCGATATCATTCTCAAGGGGGTTTTGATTGAACTCGTGGTGGGGTGCGTGTGTATTTGTCATAGAAAGGATGATTATGTAATGTATTTTTCCAATAAAAAACAAGTAATTTTTTGTTTACTTTATTTTTGACTTGTGAAATATCAATTCAATTTTTAAAAGTAATCTCATTTGGTCAGTTTGACCTAAAATTGATCAGTTAGCCATGTCTAATGCATTTGATACTAAAACACGGCCTAAAAAATGGAAAACGGTGCAAACAAACCCTTCAAGTGTTGTACTTATTCCTTGTCTAAATCAAAATTGACGTTGTGCCCCACAATATTTTTTAAAAAAATTAGTCACAAAAAAAAATGTATTACTTATTTTTTTAATCAAATTGAACAAGTGTGTGTGTATTATCTTCTATTGCAAAAGGCTGGCGTGGAGCGTTTTATTATATTTTCGAGGGTAGCAGATTAGTGCGTAAATAAAAAATAATAATAAAGTGGTATGTTATTTATTAATGGGTTAAATGGTAGATTTGTCCTGTAAATTTTTGCCAGGTGCAATCACTGAGTTTCATAAATAATGACTTTATATAGTAATAATTGATAGTTAAACAATTTTAAGGTGAAATGGTAATTTGACTTGAAAATTTATCTAAAAGAATCATTGTTATTTTAAATTTTCAATGAATGTATTGTCTTTTTAGTTTAATAGTTCAATTTAGAAGAAGGATCTAATAACTTGTTACAACCCAAAATTAGAAAAAAGAATTTTGAGTTGAAATGTGATTGATGTCTTAGGGTGTGTTTGGTTTGAGAGGGGGTGATAGAGGGAAGAGTTTTAATGTTATCTTATTTGATTTTATTAGAGGAAAGGGAAGGAAAAGTAATAATTAATTTACTAATTATATTCATATATAGTTTAATTTTTTTAATTATTTCTTGTAGAAAATAATTTTACACCTCACTTAAAATTGCATAATTTTTTTAAAATTTACTTTCATTCTCTCATATTGTCAATATGTGAATAAAAAATTAAGCTATAACTATAATGATAACAATTTTTTTTTTATAAAAAAAAAATAACTTCCTTAAATATATAATAAAATATGATAAACTGTAATTTTTCAAAAAAAAATCCAATAAGATCAAGTAAAGCATAATCTGAAATGGAAGAGAGTTTTTTTTAAATTATAAATGTACTTAAAATATTAAAAAACAAATAAAGATAAAATAATTAAAAGAATTAGTTCCCCTCCAAAACACTTCAATTTGAAAGAGAGCAATATTTTTGCTCAAAAAAAAAATGAAGAAGAAAGAGAGCAATATGGGAAGAGAGATGAGGAGTTATTTTGGCTCCTCTTTTTTCCAAAATTTTTTAACCAAATAAGAGTTTTCTTCAAAAGTGTGCGTTTGGTTTTCAGTTTGTCAAAAGTCAGTTTCATGAAAGTTAGTTGTTGCAACGAAATTTGTGTTTAGATATATTTTTTCAAAAGTCAGTTTGGCAAACTGAAAGTTGTTTGGATTAATAAAAATTTATGCTTTTCAAATGTACTTTTTAATATGTAATGACCAAAAAGGATATTAATTTATGATAATTTATAACTTTTATTATACAAATGTAATATATTAAAAAAAAGGTAAATCAAATTTAAAATGCCATAAAATTTAAAATGTTAAATATTAAGAATTAAAAAATAAAATTTAATTTTGGAAAAAAATTATGTAATAAATAGTTAAACATTCATTAATATTGAATAGTTACATGATTAATGGTTCGATCTATAATATACAATCTGATCTCTAATAGAATCTCGAACCCTATTCATTTCTCTATCAGAAGCTATGCTTGAAATTGCACTTGGAATTGTTGATGAAAATGCAGGCTCATCAGTATCATCGATAGTGTTAACCATATTTTCATCCTCAAAATGCCTGAAGTCAGAATCAGTTACAGATTTTCTTCTAATAAAATTATGTATAGCCATTGTTGCACCAACAATACGAACTTGCTGCACAAATGGATAGTTAGGGATATGTCGTAAGATTGCAAATCTATTTTTCCAAACCCCGAAAGTCCTTTCAATCGTGGTCCTTAAGCTTGAATGATAATAATTAAAAATCTCATTATTATTTGCAAATCTAGATGAACGCCTGAAATCTAGGAGGTGGTACCTATGAGATCTATAAGGACCTAAATATCCACGTGGAGTTGGATAGCCAGTATCTAACAAATAATATTTACCTACCAATAAAAAAATAGAAATTATAAGATCCCAAAAAATATTAAAATAATTGTTTAAATTAGATAAATATGAAATATACCTTGGGGTGGATGTGGAAATTTCATGTCCGGCCTTGTGAGAACATAGTCAAACAAACGAGCATCATGAGCAGTCCCTTCCCATCCAGCCATGACATAAGTGGAGCACATATCCCAATCACATGTGGCTATTATATTTTGTGTTGGAATGCCTTTCCTTTCAATATATTTTCCTTGCTCTTCAACACTAACCACACACGGGATATGTGAGCCATCAATTGCTCCTATGGCATCTTTAAAGAATGGCCAATATCGCGGATCACCTAAAATTTTTGGATGAATATCTTGAAAAGTGCGATCTTTTGGTTGGATATATTCCTTTGCTAGCTTTTCACAAGCATGCAATACATTTCTAAAATGCCTGTGAACAGTCTCTGCTGAATGTTGAAATCGTTCTTGTGCCATCCTATTCCCCACTCCATGTCCAACAATATTTAGGAACATACCGACCATTTCATGAATCCCTGTTCTTCTGGTTGGACGTAGGCCATGTTGCACTAGTTCATCACAAAGTTGAAGAAAAATATCTTTTTCCATACGAAACATATCATAACAACGTTGAGGATGCCCTTGCAAAATTTCTTGCACCCATGCATGACCTGATTGCGAACTGGTTCTACAAGGCTCTTTCAATAAAGTTGTTGAGTAATTGGATATTATTGCAGTAATAGCCTCAATCTCATCGTCTTCTGCATGTACAAGTAATTGTAATAAGCGAGATTGCGTATTGTCATCCATAAAAACTGCATAGCATAATTAACCAACCATTACACTATTTGTCCATGACTTAACGTAAGAAACACATAACACAAGAGTCAAATAACACAGTCAATTTCAAAACAAATTAATAACATGAACGACACTAGCTAAATTTTAAAACATTAGAAGGCAAGCTAAGATGATCTAATTTCATTTTTTGCCCAAGCACCTCAAATAGGCCACTAATGCTCTTCTGTTGTCCCTAAGCCCAATATACATGTCCCTTGCGGTCTTATCTAGCAGGGCCACAGCACACTATCCAAGAAGCACCTCATCATAAGCAATCTCCTCGATTCCATAAAGTTCCTTTGCAACCTCCAACACATTTTGGTCAACTGATTTTGTTTCACCCTCTATGGAATTAAGAATTGACTTCAATGTTGAAACCCTATCCTCTTGTGTGGACACCAATCGACTCACTGAATCAACCATCACCGTTGCAAGACGTTTTCCTTTTTTGTTTTGACCACTTTCACCTCTCTTTCGCTTGCTCCCTGAATTAGTACCACCACTGTATGCATTATTTAAGTTAACCTGCCCAATTCCTGGGAGAGCTCCTCCATTAATGTTTCTTATATCATCACTGTCTCCTGCTCCTTCGGTCAAATCCAATTGAGGCCTGTACACATCTTGTGGATCATCAGCCGCAGGTGTCCACATGTAAGTGCCCTGTGCTGCAACTGGCTAGAACAACTGTGTCAATTCTTGTGCATATGGAAGTGGTCTATGCCTGAATTTCCTATACTCAGGATTCTCCTGCACATTTACAAGAACTGAGTCTAGTATATTTATAAAATAAAATATGAAATGTTTAGCATGCCATGTATAATTGTATACCTTAATCTTTTGACTCCACCACTCCTCTGGTGCTGAAACAGTATTCTTTTCACTATCCCATCCCAAACCGGTCTCTTTGTTTAATAGCTTGTCCCATATATTTCAATCTTTCCTCAAATTGTCCCATTTATTCTTCAACTGCTTCTTATCATAACTTCTTGAACTCAAAGCATTGAACTGTTGCATTAGCGCCTCCCAACCCTCCTTTGATAATGTAGAGCCTTTACGCTCATTTTTCTTAACTTGCTGGAGAGCTAATTTAATAAACAATTCGGTCTCTTCGGTAGTCCATAGTGCCTTCTCTTTACTCATTTTTACTATCAAAATATCACATTCTCGATACAAATGAAATTTGAGGAGTAAAAATCCATAATTGAGTTAGAGTTAAAATATTAAAAATTTTACTATCCTTTTTTATCCTTCTTAAAAATTTTACTATCCTTTTTTTGGAAACAAAAAGAGAAAAAGATTATTCGATCATAGTTAATTAACCACTTGTTATCTTAGCACATATACTTGTCGAAAGAGGCAGTTATTCAAAAGCAGCCATAAGATAATTTCTGCACTCACTCAAAAATTCAAATCCTATAATTCAATAGTATGTATTAAAATAAGCAAGTTTGACCAGAAATTTGTAGCCTTTCTCATCCCTTCATCAATTTTCAAAAAATAAATTAGCTCAAATTCTTATCAAAATGAAATTAAAAAAAAAAACAAAGCAACATAGAACAATCAATAGATCAGTCACCAGAATATATTTCCAAAACACCGTGTCATATTTTAAACATCAGCAGATCAACAGAATAATTACAAAATGCAGTCATAAATAATGTTCTTGTTTGCTTATTTTTTCTTGTTATGTGAAGCTATCAAAAGAAGGCAATTAACAAAAATCACACCAGTCTGAAAAATAAAAAAAAAGACCAGAATGCTTCATGGTGGTCTGAAAAACGAAAGAAACAAACCAAAACAGAATAATTACAATATGCAGTCATAATTAATCTTCTTGCTTGCTTATATTTTCTTGTTATGTGATCAAAACAAGGCAATTAAAAAAAATTCACACCAGTCTGAAAAAGAAAAGAAACAGACCGGAATGCTTTCACGGTGGTCTGAAAAATGAAAGAAACAGACCAGAATGCTTCACGGTGGTCTGAAAAATGAAAGAAACAGACCGGAAACAGTGGCTTCACGGTGGTCCAAAAAAGAAAAGAAACAGATCAGAACAGAGCTTCACGGTGGTCCGAACAAGAAAAGCAACAGATCACATCGAAGAGCAGAACAAAGCAGCACTATTTCCAGATCTGACAAAAAAAGCTTGGAGGCTATCATACCTTGCAGATCGAAGAGCAGATCGGAGAAGAGGATTGGAGTTCCACGAGCTGGTCGGAATGTTCACCTTTGCACTCCACAGGTTGCAAAAGCTGCTGGTCGGAGTTCTCTCAGCTCCGAAATGCCGCCCAAGTCCCAAAATGAGCTTGATCCGTGAAAGATGGGAGAAATTAACGGTGAAATGCAGCCACCGTTGATGAAGGAAGGAGAAGCTTAGGGAAGGAAGAGATCCGGATCTGTGATGGTGGAGGAGAGGCGAAGGAGAGAAGGAGAAGAGATGGCCAACGGTGGACTAGCGGCGGACGAGTGGCGGACTAACGGCGGACGATCGGCGGACACAGAGCAGCAGCAAAGGACGAAGAACACTGATGTATCAGCTGCACAAATGAGGACCACGACTCAGGAGAGTATGCGTGATATGTATCAGCTGCAAAAGTGAGGGGCATCATGGTCAATAAACAAATTAGGTACCAGCAATAAATGTCCATCCAACTGATCACGTTTTGAAAGCAAGTGGGAGTAGCTTTGCAAATTTTTTCATTTCAAACGTATTTAAAAGTCAGTTTAAAAAGTACATTTTGTCTGAAAAAAAAAAGCCAAACAACATTTTACATTCAAAAAGTTAAAACTTACTTTTGGAATGTAAACGTAATCAAATCCAAACGCACGCTAAGTTTTTATGGATGACAACTTAAAGAGATGTATTTAGTTAGAGTTTAGGAATGCAAATTATATTATAAATATTGATAAGAAGTTGTTGGATTCTTCTTTTAATTTAAAACTTGATAATTTAATAATACTATGTCAATTAAAAATTTAGGATACAAATTATTTTTCATAAAAATTTTCAAACAAAATTGTCCATTAACATTAGTTAAAATAGTTCAACTAATTGTGATGTTAGTCGAATATTATAATATAACAGGAAAACATTATACTAATAAGACGTTAAAAATACCAAATAGACATTATGAAAAACTTTTATAGCAAACTTATCTTTTAACCTTAGAATATGATTATAATTATTACAGATTATCTACTACTAATCGGATTTGAACTCATGAATTAGGAATCAAATCTTTAATAATTGACCATCTTTATGAGTAATATGTTCATAATTTTTCTTACAGACAAGGAATGCAACTCACCTTTACAAATACGGTTATGCAACTCACTCCTTGGTGCATGGCGACCGGAACCCTTCAACAAAAGGACGAGCTGAGGCGTCGGTGCAAATGAAGCGCGGGTTCGATGGCGGCGGCGCGTGAAGGAGAGGCTTAGGTCGTGGGTCTCAACTGCGTTGAAGTCTTGCTTCTTCAATCGAAATCTGCAGGTGGTGGGTGTGTTTTAGTTAATCCTGAATGCTGACTGGCTTGTTTAATCTCTTCTTCCCAATTGGAATTTAAACTGATCTTCACTTGCAAATTCAGCTATTCAGTTAGCTTCTGCAAAATCTTCTCTTTGTTCTTCCCCTCATAGTTAATTTTTAAATCATGCAGAGGAGAACGCTGCAGAATTGGAGTTCCGCACTTCCTCTGCCACCGCACGCCAATTGTTTGTTGGTTTGCCTCTGTGAGCCCTCACACTCATAATTCTAATGTCGAGTTCCTTCTCAACATTCTGATTAAGGGGTCGATGCTCGCGAGAAAAGGTGTTGCCTTTGTTTCACGGTGTAATCCACACCTCTTGAGTAAACTCAGTTTTTGCTCTGAGGCCTATCGGAGAATTCCCAATAAGGAGGATGAAGCTACGGCTCATTCCGTACCAGTTCCTGATTTTTCCAGTAGCCTTCATAATCTCTCTCCATTATTCTCTGATGGTAAACTTCCTTCAAATGGTTACACTATTGAGCTTGTGGATCACGACGCTTGGCGGGTCTCATCAGGACTATCTCAAGCTGGGCAAGTTAGGGAACGGGGTACCCCAGAAGCAAGTTCTATAGGTCAGGAAGAAACTGATGAATTCCCTGATTTCAATCACTCCGATGTTGAGGATGATGTTGATTTTGAAGACATTGATAATATGAGAATTCGTGGAAATCTGTTCTACAAACTTGAAAAGAGTTCTAAAGAGTTTGAAGAATATAATCTAGAGTTTCACAGGAAGAAATCTCCAAAGAAAAGAGATGATGGGAACGATAATTCCAAAAAGGAAAAGAAAACTTGCCCAAGTCCTAAAACCTCCAAACTTCAACAAGTCCCAAGCACTAAAAGTGCTAATATACCTCAGCTTCGTCAAGCTAATGTTACTTCTGTGGAGAACAAGAAGCAGAGGACTCTTACTTTTAACCAGCTTACAACCAGCTTACAGGTCCATATCATGAGCCATTTTGCTTGGATATATTCATATCCAAAGCCTCTGTTCGTGCTTGTGTTGTTCATAGGGTGACAAGCAAGGTGGTTGCTGTGGCTCATTCTATTTCAAAGGATATGAAGTTTGACTTCACTTCCACTAAGAAACAAAAGCACCTGTGCTGCTGTAGGGGCTTTACTAGCTCAAAGAGCATTAGCTGATGATATTCATGATGCGATCTACACACCAAGGAAAGGAGAGAGGCTGGAGGGTAAGCTTCAAATTGTTCTTCAGTCTATCATTGATAATGGCTTTAATGTGAAGGTGAAGATTAAACAAAGAAACCCAAGAAGGCTTTTCAATCACTTAAGAATTAGTGACATTGACACACGATAAAGTGTCAATGTGTAATTTGAACTGTTGGTGTGTGCCTAAACATGAATGCTGGATACATGCCAACACAAAAGGCTTGATATCTGAAGCATAGATGCTTCATAGCCAGCCACTTCTAGCAAAGGAACGAGCTCATTTAATTGGCTCTCTTGGTTTTGTCTGTTGACTCACTTGATTGGTTTGATGTATTATGCGGTCGTTATATGCAATGAATATGCATAATTTCATTATCGTAAGTGGATGTAAGGCTTCAAGCACCTTCTAATCTTGTGTTTTGGAATTCCATTACCCCAAAATGAAGCGAAAACTAATTTGTGTTTCCAAAATTCCATGGAAGCTCGCTACCTTATGGACTGGGATTTCAAGCTTGCTACTTTCTCTTGGTTTGGATGCACAAGTTACAGTATGCCTCGCTGGATAGCATGTTCCATAATTTCTGATGGAATTTCAAAGGAGGATTCAGTGTCCACACTTTTGTTCGTTTTGCTTGAAAACTGGTGAATGAAAATTGCAGGTGGCACCAATATGGGTGTTGGGTACATGGCTTTTGTTGTATTAGAGGCTTTGATCAAGAAAGGATTAGAGCTTTGTTAGAATAGAGGCTTCAAAGCAGTGGAAATCTATGCCGACTACGTGGAAGCTGTGAATCTTCTTACCAAAAAAGAGATCCCTCTCATCCATTTCATGACATTTTTCTTGAAGTTATTGATCTTTTTATCTTAATTGGCTAGGTCCTGTTTTTAGTCTTGTTAGGAAAGCTCATAAGTTTACTGATGATTTTGGCAGCTTTGATCATTTCTCACGTTTAGGTTTGGTTTGGATTTAGGGAAAATTGGAAAGAAAATAAGGAAGAGAAAAAATTAGGAAGAAAAATTTCCAAAAATATTTTTTTCCTTATAATTTTCTTTGCTATCTATTTTTCTCCTATGCCGTGGAGGTGGTGAATGATGAACGTTAGGTGGGAAGTGTTGTAAATGCCTTTTTATTTTTTTCCTGGTTCAATTTTTAATGAAAGTTATCCAGTTTTATATTAAAAAAAATTGCGGGTGGCAAAATTCACTATCAAGAGTAGCATTCCTTGCATTGCACTACAAGTTGTAATATACTTGTGAATTTTCGGTGCCCAGATTTACACATTCACAGTTATATAACATATCTGCAAAGCACAACGCATTGTTATGAACGGGTGGCAATATAGGGATCGGAAAATGACACACGAGGGCTTCTCAGGAAGATAATGACGGAGAATGACCTTGAATTTGGAAAATGATAATTAAGTACCAAGGTCTTTTCTTAGAAAAATGTTATCTAATCAGTTAGAAATACAGTGGTTTTTAAAAAAACCAGAAATTCAATTATGAATAATGTAGTTATAAATCCTGGAAGTTTAATTATAATAATGATTATTTGTAATGTAACAAATTAAAGATGGTCACTTACCAACTAATGAACCTTTAACTCCCCGACTAACCCTAGTCAGACGCTAGTTAGTTAATTTCTATATTAATGATCGGCAATAATAAAATTCATTTTTGTTAAAAGATATTATACCGTAAACTACTGGACGAAACAAGAAGATCGCCTTATAAGTTATAATAGATATGTACACAAAAGAAGATAAAAAGATTTACCAAAAAAAAAACAAGAAGATAATAAAATTTATGCTAAATATTTCCATTTTTAATACAAGATGACAGAAAATCGTTCAGGAAAAAAAATCAATTTATGTTAGAGTAAATAATACTTCTATACAAGATTGTCAGATTATTATTTAGTGTATGATGATCAAACAAATCTACTCATTTATTTGCTTATTTAGACTATGTGTCCGTTTGAATTTCAGTTGGAGTATAATAAATTATGAAAATAATTAATTATATTATAACACAATATGTTTGGATACTGTTTTTTTAAAATTAATTTTAACAGAATGAAGATATTGGATAATTTATTTAAAATAAATTTTAGCTGTATAAAATTATCATAAAAGACATTGCTTTTTAAAATTAATTATTGATAAATTTGTATCTAATATTTAAAAATTAAAATATATTATTTAAATTATATATTTGATTAATTATAAAAATTTAAATTATATTAATATTAATAATTTTAATTTATGTAAATAAATAACTCAGTATATCTTAATTTAAATAAATTTAATAAAAGAGAAAGATTTAATTCTTAAATACCAAACATAACTTTATAATAATTAATGAAGATGATAATGTACAAGTGGATCTTTAATAATATCACAAATATAAGCCATATTTTATGAAGATTAAACACTGCTTAGAAATTTTGGCAACATATCCTTTACCAATTAATATTTATTTAAATTAGTTTTATAGTAAGTGCTAAGTGGAGAGTGGTGATGATCGAAATTTATACTGTAACTTTTTAATAATTCAAAGTTTAAATTTTATTGAAAAAGAAAAGAAAACAAGGGAGTTGGTTTTATTTTATTAAATTTTGTACCTATTTTGTAATTTTTTTCTTAGGTCTTTTCTGTAATTTTTCTATGTAATTTTGTAACAAAAGACGGAGGAAAGAAGCTGAAACTGTGAAAAATCCATTTTTTGGGAAATTGATGTTTGGGTAATTAAATGGAAAATCAATTTTTTTTTACCTAAAAAATCGATTATAATCCTTATTCAAACACACACCGCCATGTTGAGTAAAAGTAAGAGCTTTAATTAAATCAAAATAAACGTTGACTTTTGCTTTATCTAAAAGAAACCCTTAATTTTAATCGAACCTCGGTGACAAAATCATTGATGTTAACTAAGCGACTTCATTTTGTCTGATAGATATATTCTCATTTTTAAAATGTCTAATTAAAATATTCTGATTTATACTTTCATTACGTTATATGCTAATAGAAAATGTGATGGTCTATGTCAAAAAAAAAAAAAGTGATGGTCTATAACTACATTAACAAATCACCTTCCTTTGTCACCGAAATTAATAATATCCAGTTATTGTAATAACTCTATATTAAAAGTTTTATGTTTTGTTCACAAAATTTTATCTCAGCAGTGCGTTAACAGAATTGTTCAACGGAATATGCTGCTATTCACACACTTAAACACGCTAATATAACTCAGTCTACCCCTAATAAGCTTGTCGGCAAAAATGAAAACAAAGTTCACACAACCTGAAAGGCAAAGAAAAAAGTAGTCAATTATTTAAACGATGATTACCTGCCATTCGTATTTGATGTATATTTTATTTGATGCATATTGCATACACCATATAATGTACACTCTTATATTCCTATGCAGAAACAACCAAACATAAACCTTAAAAAACACCTTTAAACGTAGTACTCACGAAGGTTCAGCTCCTTTAAACTTGAAGCTAGAACCTTCCTTGAACTGTCCCAAACAAAAACAAAAACAAAAAAGCTAAAACCTTCTTTGTCGGTCTACATAGCTACTTTTACTGGTTGTAACGTTCTCTTGAGCCTTGCGGCGGCGGCCACAGAAGCCGCCACACCTCCCGGAGTGGTCGCCACATTAGGGTTGTTCCTCTGCTCTGCTCCTGCCACTCCCTCGGCATCTTGCCGTGTCGCCGCCTTGTCCGCCGCCAATCTTTTAGTCGCACCCGACATAATGTCACTCATCTTGATCTTGTCTTCCTCCCTATCACATCCGGCGTTGTAAGCCGCCGCCGACTGCGCCATCGCTGACAGTCCACCTGGTTTTATCTCATTCCTTCCGGTCGCCCTCATCTCTGCCGCTTGTATCGCGGCAGCATCGCTCGGCTCCACCGGCTTGTCACCCACTGTATAAGCCGTGGCTTCTAGAGCTTCCCCTATGGTTAATTTTACTGAGTCCCCTCCTCCGGCCGCCCCCGCTTGATCCGGTTGATTCGAGGTCGGTTTGAACATACTGTCCCACAATCTTGGAAACACATCAAAAGACAACAAGTATAAATTATACACTTATTCATAATGATATCCATAAGATTTAAGAGATTGAGAATATGGAAGCAAGCAACCTGACCACCGACTGCTTCAGTGACAATGCGTCTTCCGGCGACTTGAGTCTCATGACGGTGACACCACGGTCGCCGGTAATGTCGTTGACGTCACGGTGACCGACAAGACCAGCTTGTTCATTTTGCATGGCGGCAGATTGCATGGCGGCGGCCACTCCTCCAGGCTGCGTCTGACCGAACACACGGGTTTCAGCACTCTGCATCATGGCGGCGTCTTGAGGAGCCACCGGCTTCTCAGCGAGTTCGCCGGAACATTGAAAAACGTCGCCGTATTTGATTGGATCCTGGTTGGCTCCTTGGGGACGCCTTGGCTGCTCCTGGCTCATCTTCTCCAACAAAACTTGTTCACAAATCCGATAGAGATATTAACCGGCGAGGTAATTGTTGATTTGTTGTTCAGAGCGAGTTCGTGTGTGTTGAAGTTGAAGATGACTTATGTCGCAGAGTTATAAATAGCTTATAGTGTATGGCGGGGTAAGTGGTAAATGGCGACACGTGACAAATGTCCGCCTGCCAGGTGGACGAGCAGAGATAGCCACGTAGTTTACACGTGTCACCTATTGAGCAAGCCCATGCCCAACGGTGCATAAAAGGGCAAATAGAAATAGAATTATAGAACATTGTTGCCAATTGCGCCGGGAGAATTCCAGATCGGGAAAATAACACTTACCGAATTAATATTTTTTATTGAATATGTATATTGTATAATATTAATTAAAATTACAATAAATGAATTATAATTTTAAGAATTTTATAAAATAAAATATTATTTAAAAAATTATTACTAATTTTTGTTAATTTATCACATAATGTTTTATTTATTATTGTTCTAAAAAAGGTAGTCATATTTATTACAGTTCTAAAAAGATATTATTGCATACTGTGAGCTTTTTGGCCAAAAAGAAAACTGTGAGCTTTGAAGCAGTATCAACAATATCAAAACTTACCATCCTCTATATATCTTCCAATCCTTACATTTATTTATCAAACTTGTACATGTTAGGAGGGTTCAAATAGAATATTTTGTAAAGCATGACAACTATATATATCAAGTAATTAACCATCATATCATTGATTCAATATTGTATAAATTCAGTTCTTTTTTAAACAAATTTCAATATGAATGGACCTATAAGTTTAATCCCTTATAGGACATGGGATTGGTACTAGAATTATAGAACTTCTCATTACTCTATACAAATATAAAAAATTGCTATTGCTCAATTCTATTTGTTGAAATGTCAAGTGTGCATTGGCTATAGACAAAGTCACACATTAGATAGAGTTGGGGTTGAAGATGAGGCATATAAGTAAAAAACAGACTCATAAATTCAATTAAGGTTTTGGGTTAAAATATAATATCATACTCATTTATAAGTGATTTTTGAGAATCGTTGGGTGATTTAGTTGTGTTTTTCCTTTTCTTTAAGATGCTCCCGGGACCCAACATTAATCTCAAGCCCAATCCACCGTTCCTATGTACCAAACCGTTAAAGTTATGAGTTGCATGCCAGAGTTGCTGCATAACCATCAGATGAAGTTTGGAGTTGTTGCCACGTTTTGGTTTCTTAAGTTCGTTTTTAACTTGTTGCAGGTTTGACATATCTGAGGCCCATTGGCAATTTTCATGAAATTCACTTCGGGCTTGTTTGTATTTGTTTGTGTTATGGGCTTTATGAAAGGACTATGTTTCAATATATGACGCTTTTTTTGGGTGAAAAATATATGAAGTTAACCATAGCAAAGAAAGGCAAAAACCAATTATCTGATTGTTGATAATATCCATAAACTTTTTGCATTTGATCTATTTATTTAATGCATATATAGTTAAATAAATTACCAAGGTGCACTCTTTTATATTCTTCCAAAAAAAAATAAACAAAATTATTAACAAAAATTGAGCTAATCAAAAAATTTAGTGATTCACTGTAAGTTGCGTTGAATTGAAATCAATCTAATTATGAGTAAAAATAATATAATTTGATTAAAATATACAAAAAATTGTATATTCATATTTAACCCTAAAAAGTAATGTTTTAAAAATGCATTAAGCAGTAAGTAATTAAAATGAAATATTTGTGTATAAACCTCATATAATCCAACAAAACAACTTTCTTAAAGCATAGATTTGATAGGTTGCTGTTTTTTTTAACTGAAAAGTCAAAACAATGTCGCCTTGGGCCCAATAATAACAAAAGAAAATCCACTCCCAACTCTAGTTCACCAGTCTAAGTAACCCAAATTGGGTTTTAATACGATGGACAAAACACTATGCATAGTCCAAAACTCTTGACTTTCTGTTTGAAATAGTTGAAGCGCAAAGTTTTTCATGCATTCAGAAATTGCCATGTTTTCATTTTCATTACCATTTTAAAAGGTTCTAGTTGTTAATCTATCTTTTATCTATTTAATTTTTCTTTTTTCCTCCTCAAATATGTGTTGCTTGTGTTTCGCACATGATAGCTTATTTACTTTCTGGTTTTATTAAACATTATTTATTTATTTGCCATGACTTACAGGAAAAAAACACTTTGGCCATAATGTTATTAATGAATATTTTTCAATAGACATACACACTGTCATTTCTAAAGCTTTATTAATGTCTGATTTTCTATGTAAATCTATGTGCATGCATGTGGAACTGGAAGGTAACGGATGCAAAAATTTAGCCAATGACAATTTTATAAATAAATTAATTAAAAGTTTAAAGGTCACATCAGTTTTAAAAATAGCCAACGTAGTAATTATCATAATTTGAATAATATTAATTCATATAATAAATATAATAGGTCTCTTAACGAGAATTCGAACATCTTCAGTCTTCAAGCCACAAAATTACTGGAAGTTCGGATTCTCATTGAGCCTGGTGGCGACGGCCACCGAAGCCGCCACACCTCCCCGAGTGGTCGACACATTAGTGCTGTTCCTCAGCTCTGCACTCACCACTTCCACGGCGTCTTGCCGTGTCGCCTCCTTATCCGCCGGCAATCTCACCGTCGCACCCGATACGATGTCACTCATCTTGATCTTGTCCTCCTCCCTCACGCATCCCTTGTTGTAAGCCGCCGCTTTCTGCGCTAGCGCCGCCAGTCCACCTGGTGTTATCTCGTGCCTGCCGGTCGCCCTCATCTCAGCCGCTTGTATTGCCGCTGCGTCGCTCTGCTCCACCGGCTTGTCGCCTACTGTATGGACCGTCGCGTCTAGAGCTTCCCCGATGGTTAGTTTTATTCTGTCTCCTCCGGCCGCCGCCACCCTTGGCTGCTCCTTCTCATAGCTCATCTTCTCCGGCAAAACTGGTTCGCAAATCAGATTGTTGTTCAGACTTTTGTGTGTGGTGTGTGTGTGTTGGTGACTATTTTTCACAGCTCTCGGGTGGATGGTTAATTTTATAGTTATGTGATACAGTGAAGGAAAATAGGAAATGGAAATTAGATGACACGTGGCATAGATATGGGTGTGGAGGTGGACGAGTGGGGATAGTCACATAGTTGCGTGTCATCAATTTAGCATTGCATGGCACCACTGCACATAACAAGGCAAGGCATGTTAATGGGACTGGAAAGGGAAATAACACTAACGAAGTTAGGATGGAGTTATGAGATTTAGTGTATCTCAAGTTTTTTATTGAATAAATATATCACGTGATATTATAAAAGTTCTCCATTCAATCAATTAGTTACTAGAGATGTTAGTATAAGATATAGTGAAATTTTTTTTTTGTAGGGTATGTTTGGGAGTATATAATACAAGGAAAAGGAGTGATCATTAATAAAATGGAATGAAATATTTTATTATTTAAGAATTTTATCAGATGATTTTATTTAATTATTATTTAAAATAATTGTAAAATTAATATATTTGAATTAAATAAGTAAGAGAGAGTGAAAGGATGAGAGGGTGAAAAGGCTGAGATAATTTTTAAAAACATTATTTACATTAGGTTATTTCATTTTCGACTTCCAAATTGAGAAGTCAGAAAAATGGGTTTATGATATCTAAGGATGGTTTGTAATGCCAAATTTCACTTCCTTTTAAAAAATTTCCCCCAAACACTGGTATTAAGTTTTTAGCCATTATATCCAATTCCATTCCATCTAAAAGAAAAAAAACTCACAGACACTACCTTAATGTCTTATATTTTAATCCAATATTTTTATATAATTATAAAAAAAATGGTTGAAATACATCATTATAAAATTGCTCTTTAATCCCATTTATAAATCATGGTGTGACGTTTTAGGTAATATTTAAAAGATATTTTTAAAAATTACCCTTAATAAGAGAAAAAAAAATAACATGATATCACTTTTTGAATTTTTTTTATAGGGGTATATCTAGAATTCTACACAATTTTTTATTCCTTATATTTGTTTTGCATTAATATTAATAAAGTTAGTAGAAATGACTTATAAAAAGAACTAGAGGAATACTTTATAAGATTCATTCCCATTCAACACAACACAGACTTCATGATATATACTATTTATACTCCTTCCGTCCCAAATTACAGGGCACTTTTGAAAAAATTTCTCCATATTAAGATATAAAAACTTTGGATAGATTAAAATTTCATTAAATGCACTAATCAAAATATTATCCTTCTCTTTTTATAATTAATTTCCATCCATTTTTTTTAATATATTAAATAATGAATATTTTTAAAAATTTATATTTTTATTTTGAAAAGATAAGATTATTAAGTGTACTTAATGATATTTATTGATATATAAAATTTTATCTAAAAATGTTTTATAATTTAAAATGAAAAGAGTAATATATTATCTGAAATAAATTTTTAAGGAAGAAATCTTCTGGTCAAGGATATTCTCATTTGATTTGATATTTATTTTCAATCAATGACATTCTCTTTTCCTGGACTTCCATTTCTCTTTGGAAGCTCTAGTCCAACTCTCTTTTCTCCTCTCCTTGCAATCCTCCATCCGTCCATTCTTTCTTTTTTTTTTTAATCCCATTTATTTAGTCACCTATATTCCCCCCCCCCCCTAAATTTTTGCTATGACTCTGGCAGCAAATTAATATTTCTAATTATTAGACATGGGATCTTTTCAATTTTAATAACAAGGACAAGTAGCCTTGCGCTTACGCTTGAAAAATACATTAGCAAAATGACTTTTTTTCTAGGGGGGGGGGGGCAGTTAGATTTTGGTTTTTCAGATTAAGATGCTCTGCTTATGTGAGAAAACTGTTGAGTTATGCAATTGCCGTAACAATCACTATAGATGTACCTCAGTCAATGATAAGGTGCACTATTCAATATTGGAGATAGAGATGAGCTTCACTTTCCATAATCCAATCCTATCCCTCTTTTCTCACTCCTTAGATCATGATATTTTCCTCACAGAAGGAAAATAATAAGTATTGAAAGATGGATTGATCATTGAACCAATTAAAAACACCAGTTTAAACATTTAAAGTCAAAACCATAGTCAAATCATATCAAATTACTCATAAACTGGATATTTTATTAAGCCAATCAAGATAATGGGCAAACGGTTCAAGCAAGTGTGATAACCTAGATTTCTATGCCATGAATAACAATCCTATTCCTCTTTTATTATAACTACACAAACATACATATAGGGGAACTTTTATTGGAACCTAGGTCTGTTATCCTCATATGACATTATTCTACAGTATATTGACTCATGCACAGCAATCTCTCATGATTCTTCCTTGCTTGCAGCCTCCAAGCCATTACCTGCAAGTACAATGTAAACGTGAAACTCATATTAGGGTTCTGTGAGAATCTCAATGACAAAGACATACAATGAAATTACACTTAAGTTTCAGTTGAGTTGTCAATCGAATTAGGTTCCAGTAATTTTAAGGTGGGGAAATTTACCATCTGGATCGAAAAAGAAGACTTGCTTTGTCTTCCCATTAGGTAAGGATTTCTGAAAAGTTTCGATGCCCTTGTCCTGCATAAACAAATTCATGTAAGCCCACACATCTCTTTCGTTATTAATAAGAGAAAAGCTAAAAGAAATTAAAGTGAATCTTATTGATGTTAATGGGCATTTTACGTGCATAATTTCGTTTACATAGGATGACAGAACAGTCTAGTCTGGTTTGTGTTTTACTAATAATTAGACTGAAAAGATTCAGACGAAGACGAAGAATTTCAGGCGTTTTTGTTGTGAGATTCTCTTAATTGAATTGTGATATTTGAAACATTCTTAAGAACGTGCCAATGATGTGCATATGTATCCGAGAACCTCATGCACAGCCAAGAACTTTCATCAATTTTCATCAAATAAACAAAAGAACTGAGTGCAAAACACTAAAAAATTGTTAATTTTGATCGATTATCCACGACGGTACTTCATTAGATTATTCTTTCGGCAAATGATCCAAAGAAATTGGAAGAACTAAAAGACCAAAGCTATAATCAATTGACTCGTTAATTTTGGAGACCAAAGCCACATAGATTTAAAATGACCAAAAGATTAGTTTCCCCACACAATTCTACTTGTTAGTCCCTCACTCATTTGTACACTCCAAAAGAAACATCGAGAAACAGACCCAGAAATTACATTATCAGTTCACAAAACAATATATAACAAACCAAGAAATAAACACACCATAATCAAACCATAGAATTCAACATAATCTAGAAGTGTACCTTAAGAGTATGTAGGAATGAGTCAAAATTGGAGACAGAGAAGCAGATATGGTGACCTCTGGGAAGATGATGAGGATCAGCAATGGGAGAGACGGCACTCCACGGACCTTCAGGAAGCTTAGTCGAAGGGTTCCTCTCAATGAGATGAAGGTAAAGAGAAGACGAAGGAAGACGAAGCCACACCACCTTGAAATCTCCGAAGTGAGGGCTTTCTACCTCCTCGAACCCAAATATCTGAAGAAATATAAAGAATAATAAAACATCACACCGAATTTCCACTAAGATTATTGTTCTTCAAGCCTAATAATGCACAAATTTGAAATCAATGATGATGATAATACGAATACCAAATAGGATTATGAGAAGAATAAATCGGAAGTTACGTGAAGCGAAAAGAGGAATAAATTGGGAGTGAGAAAATCGGGAAAAATGAAGAAAAGACACCTCCTGGTAGAACTTGGCGAGGCGGTGGACGTCGGAGGTCTCTCTGGAAATATGGTTGAGGCTCACTTCTTGTACTGCCATGTCTTTGTTTCGCATTTGCCTTGGGAAGTCATGGAGAATGAAGACGACGCTTGGAAATGTTACTAACGCAGGCAAGGGGCTTGAAAACGACGCCGGTTAGATTTGTGCGTGACCCCTAATGGAAAATATTAACATACCAAAATTTGTGGCCATTGCTGTTATTTGGAAAAAAAAATAAAAGTAAAAAGAGAAAAAAGTACATTTAAGTCCAATATGAGAAAACTAATTATTTACAAACCCCATCTACATGTAAATACTGAAATTTAACAAATAAATATAAAGCTTAACTTGTAAATGGACTGAGAAAATAATTAATTTCCTCATTTGGATCCTTAGTGTAATTTTTCCCAAAGAATCATGTGAGGTTAAGAATAAAACAATTTTTTATAATTTTTATTTATTTATTTGTACAACCTTGACAACTTAAAGTTATTTGTTTCTTTATTTTTATTTGTACCATTGACCATCACCATTTGGTATTGATCTAATGTCATTATGTATTGTTAACCATCATCAACCACCATTAACAGTTGTCGATTACTGTTGTTGCCACAAATCACCTTCTATTATCAAATCCCATATTTACCATCATCCGCTAACATACTCAATACATGCATTTTTTAAACAAACTGAGATAAAATAAAATAAAATGATCATTAATAAAATACATGTATTTTTAAAACATGCACTGAGCACATTATCCATGTGCACTTGATCTCCATCAAGTTTTTTAAAATGGGTTTGGCTTGAGAACTGAGAAAGGACCAAGAAAAGGAATGTAGATTATAGGTAGTGAATAATTTCCTACTTATAATGCTATATGTAGAGAGAGAGAAAATTAATTATGACATATGAAATTCATTTGTTAGGTGCGAGTGGCCCATGTGCCACAACAACACTAATACTCGTCTTCTAACAATAAGAATACGTGTTCAAACTCAAAATGAGATATGGAAGATGCAAGTATTTTTTTTTTTTCATTACAAAGGGAAAATCAAAACTAGGAAACACCGCTAAAAAGTCTAGGTTGCCCTATGTTTAGAGCATCATTCTATAAAAATATTCAAACAGTATCCAAAATTTCATCTAGGACATGAAGACCAAATCCTATTAACAATGCATGAGATGTTAGAAAGTCAATGCACATGTTATCTTTATGAAAAATATGTGATACCTGCACTCACCAACTCCTAGTCAGAAGGTGATTAATCTGGTTTATAAGTTAGAAGACACATGTATTTCATTCTTTTAAGGAGTAAATATAAATATTAATGGTTAAGTGCGTGTAATTATAATTGCTGCCAGCTAAAAAAAATGGCTTATTTGGTAGCATATAATTTGGTTGATGGAATTGGAAATAGAAAGAGAATTTGGTGTGAAGGAGAGATGTTCATCGGAAAACCAAAATCTTGTTAAAGGCTAGAAGGTGACTTTTTATATAGGTGATAAAATGGTAATAAAAATAGTTATACATTCTTCAAAAAAATTTTATCCATTCAAATAAATTATAAAAATACTTCACATTATGCCACATCACTTGCTTGCCAAAACTTGGGAGATTTAAAAAATATCTAGGCATGTAAATACCCTTACTAAGACAAAGGCTTAGGGTTTTGTTAGAAAGCATGAATCTTGCCAAAAGGCTATGGATTATAGATCAAGTAGTTAAAGAGAATTACAATTAACGCGGAGAACGATTTAGGGGGTCCCACCTTCATTTTTACTTTCTTCGTATTTAGTTTAAAATTTTCCTTGTAAAAATGGTAAAAACTATTTTTAAAACCCCCATATTTTATAAAATTTAAAATTTTGCTCCCCATGGATGACACTCTAAATCCACCCTGAATTAACCCTAGAACAATCCAAAATACCCTAACCTCAACCAATCATAGATTGTTGATGAAACATTCTTGGATAAAATTAAGAAAATGTAGAGGCAACGACATTATACAACATGAAATGTTAGATTAAACAAAGGACTTTGATTTATGTGATTTATAAAACATATTTTGATGGCAAATTAACTAGATCCAATCATCCAAACTTTGAAAAAAAAAACATGTTAATAAAAGGAAATAAAATGAAAGTTGAGCAACAATAGCCAAATTAACTAGATTTCATTGTCACAATATTAATCTAACGATCTAAAATTAAAATAAGATGTGCATGAAATATATTAAAATGAAGGATTCATATTTTGCAAAGTGGCTCGTTTAACTCAATATATATCTATAAAATTATCTAACGATCTACAATTAAAATAAAATATAGGAGAGATATTTTTTTTTTTGGTTGCCCAAAGTATCCACCACCGGTAATAGTGACTAATCCTTTCACTGGGGGGTCTCTCACAAGGAGGCAAACGGCTGGCTATAGAGTGCTCTCCATTCGCATGAGTGAGGAATCGAACTTCCCACCACATACTTAAGGGACGAAACGAGATAACCATTACACCATACTCACATAGTTATAGGAGAGATATTAATAGGAAATACGATCGAGATTTTACGAGTTAGCCCGTTTAACTCGAAAGATGGGCTGAGATTTTTTTTGCCCCCTTCAAAAAAAAAAAAAAGGGATTTAGAAACAAGCTTGAACATAGACTTGTCGTCCATTTTGGGCGGGCTGCTTTCTGGTTTCATAGCCTAGCAAGATAAAACTATAAGAAGAAAAAGGCAAGCTCTCGTCCCCGGAAGACTGAGAGAGGGATATTCATTCAAGCTGCGGCTGTGCGCTGTGGCTGTGGCGTGAGAAGGAAAGTCGTCTTCAGCTCCAAACTCTTCCATCCACCGTCTGGCTACACTAGTCACGGCGGAGCTCAGGCTCCCACCACCACGGCAATCACCAGCCCCTGTAAGTAAATCTTTATTGGGTTTTTCCAGTGGGCGTGGTTGAATTGTTAATTGTCTGATTGGTTTAATTTTTAAAAAAAGAACAAGAATTGATATATTGTTCCAACAATTCGGAAGCAGAGTGGTGTATATTTATTCAAAGTATCACCCACAAGGGCCAATATCAATGAGAAAGTATAGAGTTTAGGTAGGAAGGCTTATGTGCAATCTTACAAAGCCCCTAGTTTGCCTCCAGGTTTATATTCTGTGTAAGATAGACATAATTAATGTATTGGCACAGAAAATTCATAGATATCATGTTGATTTGTTCTTCGTTTAATTTATTTGTTCAATACTATTTGCCAATGTATAAATCATAGGGTGAATCGAATGATAATTAGGTTAGATGATGATATCATGGCAGAGATAATAATGACATTGATCTCGATGAATCGGAGGATAATTAGGTTTGGGCTTGCTTGCTTATGATATTTTTAGTTTGGTTTAGTTTTTTCAAAACAATTTTCACAAACTAGGGTTTGCAAAGTGAAATTTGTATAAAAGCTTATCCAAAGTGCTTCTGATCATAGTCTCAATGTTTTTAAAGGTGAGCACCTGAGTGAACCCATCACCTCTCTTCATGTGAGAGGCGATTCGGCGGTCTACACCTCGCCTCAGCACCTAAGGCGCAAAGGCGAGCGCCTTTAACAACACTAGTCTTAAACATGGTTAATTGAAAAGGTAATCTGAATGTAGAAAAATTATCCCAACCAGCTTTTGGCCCCTCAAAAGAATTGTTAGTAACTTAGCTGTCATTTTGTGAGATTTATGGTTACTTATTTTTCTTTCCTTTTTTGGACAATGCTTGGTTCCAATTTATCATGTTGAGCATCTGTTTATGTTGTAGACATATACATAACTTATATAGTATATTTCAATTTGTTCTTCAACGTGTCCTTGACTCATACAATTTAACACAATTTATGATTCACAGTTAAAGAATAAGCCTCCTGATTCATGTTTTGAATTGTGTTTTGACAACTATGATTGGTACCAATCAGGATGAGTGTTCTAGAGTCTAGACAACAATTATGTTAAATTATAGCATTTGGTGTAAGAACATGGCATATCAAGTCTACCTTAAGGAGTTATCAATAGGTATCAATTAGGACCTGTGGTTAATGTTGAAGGGAGGCTGTATTTTAAAAATTTCCGGTTTTGAAAATCCTCAAGACAGTGAAATCTATTGCCAGCTTGTTGAAATTTATTTCTTTGAATAAGTATTTAAAATTTCTGCAAATTCATTGAACTGCAGACTAGTCCATTAAGCACACTGACACATAAGGGTGGATATGTATGGCCTGTCTGACAGTGCTGTTCATTGAGGACTTCCATTCTACATTTTGAATTTGAATTTCTTCTTGTAAAAATTGCAGTTGAATTTGATCATTCTTTGGAGGTAGTGACTCTAGCATTTGCTTCACTTGATGGAGATAGATGCTGAGAACAATGGTAGTGCAACTGGAATGAGTCTGTTACCCTTGTTGCCCGTGGCAGCAGAAACACATGGTGAAGGTTTACCATATGCACCTGAGAATTGGCCCGAACCTGGTGATATTTGGGGTTGGAGAACTGGTAGGAGAGTTGCTCAGAATGGCCATTTCTTGGATAGGTACCTGTATCTTCCCGCACGTCTTTCTCATTCTGAGATCCCAGGCTCCAGTCGCAAACATAGACTCTGTTTTCCAAGCAAGCTTTCAGTTGAACGCTACATCAAATCAAATTATCCAGAAACTGATATTGAGGCATTCTTTGCTTTGTTCAGCTGGAAGATTCCATCCATACCATCTACACCAACCAAAGGTCAGTTACAATTTTTCACGTGTGTGTGTGTGTGTGTGTCTATACTTTCTGAGTTCAACCCCCCCCTTGAAGTTTATGTTTTTCCATTTTCCCATTTGGACAGTCTGCCTCACCATGCCATCAGATTTTTGATTTAACATTGATTGTAAATTAGCTAACTGAAAGCTAATTGGATAATCTCCTGTAACGTTGTGCTGTAATGGACTTATCTATGCAAGGAATCTTGTCCATTGATGGGAATGCGTTTGTGTTGAAAATCCTTCACATTTTTGCATATTCTTTGTAATTTCACCTTGTTATGATACATTTCTAATATATGTTGAATGCACTTGTAAGTCCTCTGTTGGTTATGCCTTCTTCTTTTTTTTTTGGGATGTGGTGTTATGCTGATTTTTGTTTCTTGTCCAATCTCAGAGCTAAATAACTTAGAATGTTGCTCTGTATTGTAGGCAACTCAGATCCTATAGTTGCCGTACCTCTCCGACAGATTTCACATGATTCATATACAGAACAGTCAGCATCTGAGTCAGAGTCTGTTTCTTCTGGGTGTAAAGTTAAAAATAAGATGTGCAATGGTCAGGTGTTGAAAAAAGCAGGAGAAGATTCACCGGCTATGCCTTGTGATATTTGTTGTGCTGAGCCAGGATTTTGCCGTGATTGTTGCTGCATTCTTTGTTCCAAAATTGTTGATTCAGCTTATAGAGGCTATAATTACATCCAGTGTCAGGAAAAGATTAACAACAATATCTGTGGGCATATTTCGCATATGGAATGTGCTCTTCGATGTCGCATGGCTGGAACAGTTGGTGGAAGCATTGGATTGGATGCTGAGTATTATTGCCGACGTTGTGATGGGAGAACTGATCTGATTCCTCATGTTAACAAGCTTCTACGCATCTGTAAAGCTATTGATTCAAAGGATGACATTGAAAACATTTTAAACCTTGGTGCTTGTCTCTTGCGTGGTTCAAAGAAAGCTATTGCAAAGAAGCTGCTGAGACATTTTGAATTGGCTAATTTAAAGGTATGAACATTTGATTTGACTCTACCTAAAACAGTAAAAGCTTTATTGCGTGATTTGTGCATGTCTGCCCTCTCTTTACCGCATTAAAGCTGCAATATGACCAATTTGGTTGTTTACATCAGCTTAAATGTGGGTTTGATGATATCTGGGAGGAGGAGGAGGAAGGCAATCATGCAGCTTATTCTGCTGGTAAATATCCTCACTGTATTACTCATGCATCATAGTGTAATCAAACTGCTTTCCACTAAGAACTGTGTGTATGCTTTTGAAGGTGCTGGTGATATTTTAGCTTCAAGTTATCAATATATTAAATATGTAATTCTGGTCCTATTTATAGTGCAAAGAGAGAAGGATTTTTTTTTTTTGTCCTATTTATAAACCATGTCATTAATTTTTTATTACAAGTTTCTTCTTTTACCTTCCAATAAATATTGATGAGAAAAAGTATGTTATTAAAATATTTACTCCATCCTAAATTATAAGACAATTTGAGATGAGTTTAGGCATGCTAATAAAGTTCAATAATGACACTTTATAAAATTATTTTTTCAGAACAAAAATATAAGCTTTCAAAAATGTCCTTCATTTAATAAAACTTCAAAATCTATAATTATTCCAATTCTCTCTCCACTTAAAGGGTAATATTGGAAGAGCATCATTAATGAAACCTTATTTTTATCAAATTGTCTTATACGTTGGGACAGCAAAATTCTTTCAATGTTATCTTATAATTTAGGATATAGGAAGTATATTTAAGAGGGACAAAATTGAAAACTTATTAAATTTTTTTTAGACAAAGTTAATAAATTTTAAGATTTTTTTTATTTCAATAAAACATATTAGAAATAACTTATAAATAGAGGATCAGAGGGAGTATAATATAAAATCCATAAAAAGCTGCACTTTTCAGTTTTCATAGATTAATAATGGTGTGATTTATCTTAGATTAATAATTCCCCCTTTTTTATAAAATCCACATTCATTTTTTTTTTTTAAACTTTGATATTGCATCTATGAACAGGCTTCACGGAGAATGGCCATGCTCCAATGGATGTAATGCGAGATGAGAGCCCTTTAAATGTTAGAAATTCAGAATCCTGTGGTCATCCGCCAGAGTTGGTAGAACTTGAGGTGGAGATTGATCAGGCTCTTCAGGATCTTAGAAAGTCACAGGAATTTGAGTACAAATTGGCAGAAGAAAGACTACATGCCCAGAAGAATTATTTGAACAATTTGTATCAGCAACTGAAAAGTGAGAAGTCTGAACTGGCGCGTCCAAGATCATCATCATCTTCTTCTGTTGTATCTGATCATGCTATCAGAAAAAGAGAGGAACAAATAAGACTGGAATCACAGAAACTTGAAGACATGAAAAAGGTAGCCCATGGCTTTGGCAGTACACCGCATTATATATTAAGGGAACACTTTGGCTTAGGAATTGCAGATTAAGATTGCAAATGTATCTGCCACTGCTGCTCCACAAAATCTTCAGGAACATTGTTAAATGTCTTTGGGATAGAGGTTTGCTTAATGTAAAAATTGATCAAAGGTAGTGGAAATTTTAGTTTAGACTTTCTTTTAATTAAGGCTAATCCTCATCTCATTTGCACAGAAAATTATGTTTAGTATTGAAAGAAAATCTCATAATCATGTCTGTAAATACTAAAATCACTTTATGGTCTCATTATACCTTTACATATTTCATTGTCCTTAATCAAAGATTTTTTATTTATTTATTTGGGGGTGGGATATTTGACCCTACCAGCTCGATCAAGTTTAAGGTTTTCTTTAATTTTTATTTTTAAAAATAAAAAATTAACAACTTATTTAAATAAATGTTTTGAATATAATTGTTTTTAAAATTGTTCTCATTTTTTGTTTTTAAAAACAATAAAGCTGTTTTTATTTTATTTTTATTGTTTTCAAAATACATTAGATTTGATTATTGAAAGTTATAAGTTATTTTAAAAAAATAATTTTTATAAGTCATTATCATTAATCGCCAATGATTATTACTATTGGCCAATTTTTAATTTTAAAATTATTTTTAAATTAATACAACCTAACAAATTTTCTTGTTTTATTTTGAAAAACAATTTGAAAAACTGTTGCGAAACAGTTTTTTTTTTTTAATGATAACAGAAACCAAACAACCTTTTCAACTTTGCAGGCTTATGTTTTTCCTCCTTCCCTATTGTAAGTTGGTATTTTTCTTTTTTCATTTACATTTAGTAGATTTCACAAAAACAACAAAATGAATGTTGTGCGCCAAAATCCTCAAGCAATATATATCAATACAAAGATTCAAACTATTGAACTTGTTCGATTTTATTCCTATTTTTATTTTTAAAAAATTTTTTTAAACATTTTAGAATAAAATAAAAAGAAAATATGTTTCATTATATTAATTTGAAAAAAAATAATTAGAACTAAAAAAATATCAACCAATAGTGATGATCACCAATTATTAATGGTAGTAATTGGCCAAAAATGATAATGGTTGCTAATCAAAGTGACCAATAATAGCTAATGATGGCAATTGGCTAGTGATAATGGCTGATGGCTAAAGTTGTTAACAATAATAGTTAGTGGTGGTGACGGTGAATAATAGTAACCAATGGTGATAGCTATTAGCAGTAGTTGATAATTATTGACACTAATGGCTAGTAATAATTAATTGATAACAGTTAATAATAATTAATAACGGACAATAATAAATGACAATAATTGATAGTGATAACTAATGGTGACAATTAACAGTGACAACTAATGGGGAATAGTAATGATTGCTAGCGATAGAGGTTAATATTGATGGGCAACAACAAATGATGGCAATTGGGTTTCATGGTGATAATTTACAATAGTTAAATATAATGTATTTTAAAAATAAAAAAGAAAACAAAAATAATTACAAAATGTTTCTATTTTCTAATTTTTTAAAAAATAAAAAAGAACAATTATGAAAATAAAATAATCCAAAACTCTTATCTAAACAATATTTTATTTAAAAAAAAAACTGTTCCGTACCTTCACAGGTTCAAACTTCAAAATCTGAAGTGAATGATGAACAATACAATTTATCTTGCATATTCTGTACACTGCCAAACCGAGGAGCATCCACCCCATCCAATGTACGGGAGCACATTTGGTCCTCACTAGGGGCATCACCCCTAAAATAATCTGAAGTATCCAGGATTAGATTCAAATACTTTTTTATTATTTAAAATAAAAAGTTTATAAAATTTAATAAATCTATTAATTACCAATATTATCTTCTTACAATTTTTATAAATTGACCATATAACTTTACTTTGGACTGTGTTAAATCTGACAATATAATAACTTAAAAGTTTTGCATCTGAACAATATAAAGTAATTCTGTATAATCAAGTTATAAAAGTTCTAAAAAATTAATATTAAATTTGAATTGATCTGATTAAATATGAATTGTACATATTGATAATTAATAAAATTTATTCAAATTTTTATAAATTTTTATTTTAAAAAATATTAAAAATAAAAAAATTATGTAAATCCAAAATATAGACTGACCATGTTATTTTAGGTGTGTGCTCATCTCTCCCGATAAGCACCGAATGTGCTCCCTCCAATATACACTCTTATCAACGTATATCCTATAACATTAAATTAAATGGGAATAGCTCTCGTTGTATCCAAAATCTCCTCTCATCTTCAAGTAATCAAGCCTTCCAAACTAAACGATGTTAAAAAATTGTGAACAAAATATTTTGAGGTAGCTTTTAAATTGATAGATTTAAATTTAATCTTGTATTTAAAATTATTTATTTAAATAGTGTAAATAATTTTAAAGGTAAAAGAAAGAGACAAATTAAAAATTGAAAAAGAAACAAAAGATTAGAAGTGACAAGCTTATCTTTATTTTTTTAATTGGTCAGAGATAGAGTTGATAATTTAGATTAACTCAAATAAGTTTAGAAAATCTTAAGACTAACCTTAGGAATTTAGAATTTTTTTCACTTCAAGTTTATTCAAACCGCTTAAATAAACTCAATAAAATTCAAACTAAACTCAAACCTGAATGAATCTAGTGTAGCAGCCCTCCGCTCACCCCGCCTACCCGAGGTCTTTTGCGGCGCTGGACACTCTCCCCCCAGGCCCCACAACAGGGCGACCCCACCCCTTACGGTGAGCATCAGGAGACAAAGGCTTCCCCGCAGTAGTGTGCAGGATTATTCCCCTTGCGAGGAGCCTCCCCAGGTTCGATCCTCCAACCTCTCCTACATAACAAAGTTGAGGCTGAACCTGGTACCATTGAACCACGGGTAGTGGTTCAGCGCCCTGTTGTGGGGCCTGGGGGGAGAGTGTCCAGCGCCGCAAAAGACCTCGGGTAGGCGGGGTGAGCGGAGGGCTGTTACATCTAGTCCAAATATCTGAATTCTTTTATTATTTAAAATTGAAATAAGATAAAAATATTAAATTAAAATGAGATAAAAAATAAAAATATTAATTTTTTAAGATAAAAATTGAATTGGCTAAAAAAAATAAAATAAAAAATATTGAACAATTTAGATATTTAAGCCACGCCAGAAGCCTAGATGCAGAGGCAAAATGACATTATGTCTGGGAGGGGGGCCCCCACCCCCCAAAATTTCAGCATTTTGTATAAAATATTATGTTAACTTAATTACACTTCAACCACGCCATGCTTTCAATCTACCCTCGGTGACAATTTTTCTAAAATATTGAATCTAGTAAATAATAATTTTTGTATACTCATTAAGTTCGCATGCTTTACAGACCACAAAAATCTTTTTCGCGTGATTTATTTTCATCTAGATTATTCGATCTTTTCAACTGAAATTCTTGTTCTAGATAATTAATCGGAAAAAAATTGTATATAATTATATTTGCATTTAGATTGTTTGATTTTTTCAACTAGAATGACATCAAGATTTATTATGATAAAATTTGATTAAAAATATCTTATATTTTTTTAACATGTAATTTCATTTTGTCAATTTTTTTAATTTTCAAACATATCATATAATTATATTTCCTTTGAATTATAATAGAGGACATTGGCAACGAAGTCATAGTTTCAAAAAAATTAAGTGAAATCTGAATCTCTTAAGAAAGTATATCTTTTTAATTATACTCTTATTAAATAATTTATATAAGTTGCTTAACAATGACAATTGAAATTTCAATGCATGATTTTTTTTTTTTCAAAATGACTAGTAAATAAAGTAGGGTATAGTTGAGCAAGTTATTATAAAATTATCTAATATCCTATATTTTGAATCAAAGAAGGTTTCTAAAAAAAATGTCCTATATATATAGTGGATTCCAGGGAGTTTGTAATTTATTCTCTAATGATTTTTAAAGTTATAAAATTATTTTAAAGATTAATTATTATAACTATTAATAAATATATAAATATATGTATGTATATTAATTTTTTAAAAAATTTGGCCCCTGAAACACACAAGCTAGTTCCACCCCTGCTTGGCTAGATAGGTTATATATATATATATATATATATATATATAAACTCAATCCACATGAATTATTAACTCTAAAAGAATAAGAAATAAAAAGAGTAGCAAGAATAATAGAGATACTAATAATGAAAACATGAAAAAAAAGAGAGAGAGGTTGGAATAGCGGATATTTCAAATGACTAGAGTTGGAGAATTTGAAATTATAAAAAAAATTATAATAAAATATGAATTTGAATCTCGATCAAATTCAAATTCAAAAACTTTTATATATCAAAATGAAGGATTTGATTTAAACCGAGATCCAGATCATCATGCTTATCCAACGGCACCTTAATAGTTTTCTGCTGCATCTGTAGTTTGACAAATCATTCGTGCACAATCAATAAAAAAAAAGAAAAAAAAACAATAAACTCCAGTGGAAATATCAACTATTGAGCCTTCAACGAGTTGTTATTCTTCCCAATAAATAAAGAGTGATTCCATGCAGAGTTCTATCTTTCAAAAATAAAATAAAATAAGATTTTTCATCATTAGATTCAGTTTCTGATTCTTTTTTTAACAAGAAGAGGGGTAGAGCCCAAAAGGTATAGGAGAACGATGAGGCTTTGGGAAAAATTACAACAGTGCGAACCCAGCCCATCCAATAGCAAAAAGAAGAGAGAGAAACATTCTTTTGAGACAGAACAGAGCTCTTCATAGTAATACCCTTTGGCAAAAAGGATAACAAGTCACAAGACAAGATTTAGCATGATGCTCTGTATTTGCCATACTGTTCTGAGAATATGTCCCAAACTTCATGCAAAGAACATGCTTTCCAACAAAATGAAGCAACAAAGATTTATGGCTCTACCACATTCAAAATCCAGACGTGTCCCATGTCCAATAACTAATTGCAGGACGTCTTGAAACGCAACACATCTTGCTTAAGGAACCTCCAGGTTCATAATTAGATTACCCTCTGATTTTATTCTCAGGACATGTGAAATACATATGAATGTAGCGGAGCACTTCCTAATGACACTGTTTTCACCTGGCACTATTTGCTCAAAGTTGTACTTTTGATCCTTAAGTTTATATAGTTTCAGTTTTATTCTTCATTTTTCAGAATGTCACTAACGTTTTCTTCCAACCTAATTTATGAGAATCTCTTAATGGAATATTCACTTTAGATGATTATGACCTAGACATTGACAAAATTTTGAAACCAATCTTAACATTCTAGGCTACAAACTACTTATGCTACAACCCTTTCCATCACAGTAAACATGACAGACAATGGGTTGTCTCAGTATAACAACATGAGAATATGTTCTTAGTTACGAGAAGACAATCTTTATTGTAAGGAGAGAAACAAGAAATGCAACTGATTGGCCAATGAGATGACAGACTCAATCTTTCAAGATTGAGGACCTGTTGTTGAGGGTGTGATCCTACGCATTCAACTTTTTCCTCTCCTAATGCTTAGGCCCCATTTATAACCAAAAGGAAAAGGAAATGCAAATGATTGAGCACCAACAAGTATAAAGAAGGGAAATGAAATTTCACCTTCTACAAACTCAAATGATGCAACAGTTGGTCAATGATGGGAACTCGAATGAAACGAAAACAAGGAGGTAAAGATATAACTGCCTTGCAATTCATGTGTTGCTCTTATTGGGCACAGAAAAATGTTGAACAGAACGGATCATGAAAGAAAAATGTGATGTTTGGATTAGGCAGACCTAAATCTAAGGCTTTCCAGCAGAACTAGCTATATGGCCTAACAGGAAAACGAACAAAATTGAAAAATCAGAAAAGAAACAGCAAGTTCATAATCTCTCTTCTCTTGCCTGTTATCCCATCCAACTTATCCTTTTATTGTTAGGGATCATGAAAAGATTTGGCCCTGAAGTTCAGCTCAACCAAAATGTGCAGAATAACTGTGTAGAAGCAAATGCTCCTCAAACTCAGAAGCGTAAGCAATGACCTGTGTTCACCAGGAAGCAGAGTTACTAATAATTAAGGAGTACAGTCCCTGAAGACATAGAATGAGTCAAGGGAATGCATTATATGCACCATGCATTTGTTAACGAATTCATGAAATTGCCATTAGCCGGATATAACATCATTGCAATGTGAAAGGAACGCGTTTTGATTCAAAGGCAACAAGAGAATACAGTCACTAGTTCCAATATTAACCAGAAAACTAACTTGCATACTCAAGGAACGTTGAACAAGAACAAGGTAAAAAAGAATATCACTGTACAAGCACAAGTCTTCCTCCGAAATTCCCATTACCATCACTCCACAACCCTCCATTTTCATCCTCAGCATGCTCCAATTCTTCACTCTTTGGCACTGTCACAATGAGCTCTCCGTCAGCAAAAACTGCGCTGGCAAGTTCCGGCCGGGTCGATTCCGGCAGCCGAAACCTCCATATGTCAAGCTCCAGTTCATCCAGCGATAACTCCAAAGACCCACTATCCCTCACCACAACCTTGGTGACCCCAGGATGGATTTCCACCATATGAGCTTGCACGTCGCCGATTCCGTCAGTTTCAGCCACGAATCGGAAGAAGTCAGGGCTTTCCTCGATTGTCACATCGGCGTCGGAGCGAAATGGAAGCTCCAAGACGCGACTGAAGACATGGGGGAGCCTCCGCAGCTTCTTATTTGTGAAACCCAGAAGTGCCTGAGCTTCAGAAAGAGGATTTCCTGCATTCATGTCAAATTGAATGGTGATGTTGCGTTTTCTGGGCACAGGATGAACCTTCATAGTTTGGGAATCACTTGCGGCGAAAACAGAACAAGCTTGCAACAAGATTAATATCGCAATCAAAGACGATGCGTCTGGGATGAAAGTTGCACAATAAAGGATGAGAATCAAGAACTGGGTCTGATTGCGAGGTCGAAATGAAATAATCATACAAGGACGGTTTTTTGTCGTGTAGTCTTATTTCGGTAAAAGCTATGGAGAATGGAAACTCGAATCCTAACTCAATGCCTAACGATGATTGAGGCATAAGATGGAAGGTTCACGAGAATACACGAACGAAAGCCTGAAGAAATTCTTTGCGAGCAAAAGCAAATGCTCTGTCCATGGCTCAAGCGAGAGGAGAATCACACGCTGCTCGGAGAAGGACAGATATTGTCGTTATTAACCTTTTGCTTCGCCGAATTTACCAAAGAACCATTTGCCCATATCCGATTGCCATTAGCGAAAACATAATCCTTTCGTTTTAAAATATAAAATATTTTTAATTAAATTTTATTTTTTAATAAATTAATTATCTATTTTTTAATTAAATTTATTTTTTTATATTTATTCCTATTAAATACTTTATAATACATATAAAATCATTATCAATAATAACATTTTTTAAAAAAAGCAATGATTACACTTTAAAAGATTAAAAATACCTTATATTTTTTAACATCTAATTTTTTAAAAAATATATTACATTTTTAAATGAAAGGAGTAATAATTTATTTATATAATTTTATCACATTTTGCTTTTAGTTTTTATAATGTATTTTTAATTTCTATAATTCAACATCTTTACAGACTTTAGAATTAAATTTCACTCATTCTTAATTAAATATAAAAACCAAAAATATTAAAAAATTATAAGAACTAAAAATAAAATTCAATAAAATTATAGAAACTAATGGTTCTATTTTTCCTTAATGTTATTAATTTATTAGCAAATAAATGATAATCACATTTCTTTAACAAATCATATTATTTCTTATAATTCATAAATTAGGCAGATTTAATGTGCATTTCACAAATATCAAAATCTGAAATAGGACTTATTAATTATGATATTTTATTATAATTTTGTATTTCAAAAATATTTAGAAAATGATAATAAAATCACCCCAAAATATGTAAATAACAATCTAATTTTTTAAAATGATATAATTTCATTAAAGTCCTTAGGGACTTCTATGTTAATAAATTTTAAAATAAAATAATTATTTTATTCTTATTAAAAATAACAAACTTCAATCATAACTTTTACTTAAAGAATAATAAATGTTATTTTATGAATTATAATAGTTGAACAAGAAATTATAATTTATTATGTGTAATTTTTATTATTAAAAAATAAGCCTAATCATACTTTTTACTTAAGGAATAACAATTTTATATTGTGAATCACAAGAATTAAACAGCAAATTATAATTTGACATGTGTAATTTTTATTATTAATAAATAAGCTCTTCAAATAATAAACCTCAATTACTACTTTTGTTCAAGGAATAATAATTTTTACTCAAATAATCAAAAATTGGACATAAAATTACAACCTATTACTAAGAATAAAATAATTTCTTCAATTTCAAATTTATTAACACAAAAATTCTTAAAAATTTTGATGAAATTATATCATTTTAAGGGATTAAATTATTATTTATATAATTCAAGAGATTTTATTATCATTTTTTAAAAAAATTATAAATTTTATATTGATAAAAAATTATTTTTAAATTTAAAGTTACATAACATTTCTTTTTAATTTTTAAATTTTACGCAATATTTTTCAATTCTTTGACCAATTAATCCTAACACTTTTTTTTTTGGGGTAATAGACTAACCTTGGCACTTTAATAGACTTTTATATCAATAAATTTTAAAATAAAAGACTATTTTACTCTTATTAAAAATAACAAAATTTAATCATAACTTTTGCTTAAAAAATAACAAATGTTATCCTGTGAATTGTGATAGTTGAACAAAAAATTATAATTTATTAAGTGTAATTTTTGTTATTGAGAAAAAAATCCCGATCATACCTTTTACTTAAAGAATAATAATTTTTATTTCATAAATCATAAAAGTTAAACAATAAATTATAATTTGACAAGTATAATTTGTGTTATTGAAAAATAAGTTCTTAAAACAACAACCCTCAATCACTACTTTTGTTTAAAGAATAACAACTTTTATTCAAATAATATCAATAATTAAATGAAAAATCACAACTTATCAATAACGATAAAATGATCTTTTTAATTTAAAATTTATTAACACAGAAGTTTCTAGGGGCTTTAGTAAAATTATAGTATTTTTATGGATCAGATTATCATTTATATAAGGGTTAAGGGTCAAAAATATTCATAAAGTGCACACGACAAGTTACAAATGACCTTAAATTCAACTAAGAATTACTCATATTCCTCAATTTTAAAAAATTATTGCTTCGTTACCCTAACACTAACATATTGTTATGTGAGTCTCACATGTAATTTTTTTAATGTTTTATTATAAAATATTGCTTGTGGGTTCCACATTATTTTTTTAAAAATAGGTTAAGGGTCAATTTTATTTCTAAAATATATATGAAAGGTTACAAATAATTTTAAACTCCATTTGGGATCAATTTTATCCCTCAACCATTAATTTTTTTTAAATTTATTACCCTACCATTTTCTTCATTTATTTTCTCTATTAATTGAGCTCATTTTACTATTTTTTTAATATTTTTATTATAAAATATTTAAGTGAGTCCCACCACTCATTTTTTAATAATTTTTCTTCTTTCTCCCCTCTCTACCCTTCAATCGTTGAGTTAAGATCGTGTATCATCTAAGTCATTGTGTATAAGTTCCTCAATTGAAAGCAATATGTACCCAGAACTCAATCTACGACTAGAGACACAACATGCGCTCATTCAGTGCGAAATCCTAAATGAAAAATGAGAAACATGGTAACTAGAGGCTAGCTTTACATTACAAAATATCACTTTGTAGTTTGAGCCCAAAACTCAATCTACAGCCGAATAGCAACTTGCACGTAAACATACATGTCGCACTTCGAGCATGACTTAAAGTAATCACAGTGCCAATCTCCTTTTAACATAGCACTCAAAGAGAGGAGAGAGGGGAGAGATAAAAAATATTAAAAAATAATTGATGGGATTCACTTAAATATTCTATAATGAAAATATTAAAAATCTAAAATGGGCTCCATTAATAAAAAAAATAAATGAAGAAAACGACATGGTGATAAATTTAAAAATTCTAATAGTTAAGAGATAAAATTGATCTCAAATTGAGTATAGGATCATTTATAACATTTTTTATATAATTCAAGATAAAATTGGCCTTTAACCCATTTAAAAAATAATAATGTGAGGCCATAAACAATATTTCATAATAAAAAATATTAAAAAATTTATTATAAATGATCATAAAAATTACTATTAGGCGAAAGGATCATGAAATTGTAATTGACTATAAAACTTATTTGTAGTGCCTTAAAATTAACTGTACTACATAATTACAAAAAAAATTTAAAAATAATTTTAAACCAATGAAAAACATAAAATGTAACAATTTTAAAAATAAATATTTTTAAATTATATTTATTTAATTTTCAAAAGTAATAAATTTAAAATTATATTCACTTAATTATTTTTAAAAATATATTGATCTAATTAAATTTAATACTATATTTTTGTTTTATGTGTGTGGAATTGAAATACATACAACTTTAAAAGAATTTTTTTGCAACTCATGCAATACCGTTAATTTTAAGATATTATTAACAAGTTTTATATTAAAGTTATAATTATAATAGTCTTGATATTTAGGCCTAATTTTAATTTTTATGATTTTTTAAATAAATATGATTTTCTCTAAGTACTTAGCAATAATTTTCCCTTAGAAAAATCTTGTATTCACAAATTAATGAAACAAAAAAACTCAAATTTAATTAAAATTTTAAATTGACACGCTGATGATTTCATGATTAATGAATGAACAAAATTTCACCCACACACAAAATATTTATTCATTCAATTTAGATTTAGGGTAAAATATATTCACTCTTTAATTTTGAAGGAGGTTTGAATAATTTTGTATTGTAATCAAGTTAAAATATTAAAAAAAGTCAAAATATTTTACTCTTTAATAATAAATTAATATGCCATGTGAATTTAAATTTTCTCTACCACTTATATCAATTTTAATCGGTAAAATATTACTAATCATTTAATAATATAAAATGTTGATTCGTCATGCAGTATTCAAATAAATTCGTGTCTGGATCAATTGACTGTTGTTTCTCTAATAAATGGGTCTATTCTTGGCTGTGATCGTGAGTTGATTTGAAAATCGAATTTAATTTTGTTAATTAGAGGTCATTCATTAATCAAGCAAATGAAATTGGCACCTCAAACAGCCTATGTATTTTTAGACAGTCAAGTAAATATTAAACCTGCATTTTAACCAATTCAATTAAATAACAATAAAAATTATTGAAAAAATTGAGATCATATCACACGATTGAGAAAGATATGATTAATTGTTGTCGTTTGTGCATAACTAATTGAGTTTAGATTTTATAATCATCTTGAAATAAATGAAATAATCCCCCCATTCAAAATAATTGCTCTTAATTACATATATCTCCATTTTATTTTAGAAACTTATATAAACCTCTCCTATACAAAACACAAACATCCTTTTTATTTTTAAGATTTTATTTTCATTCACCTAACTGTTAGTTAACTATTAAATTACAAATGTTTGACCAAAATGCCCCTTCTTTAAATATAAATATTTTCTAAAAGTTATTCAAATCACAAGAAAAAAAATTTAATCTATATGCTTTTTTTAAATTTTTATTTATATTTTAAATTTTTTAGTTATATAAATGCATTTATTTAGTAACATTTTCTAAAATTTAAATATATAAATTGGACAAAGTAATATTTCAAACATGTAGTTAACAAATTAATGAAATAAAGATTTAATATAACAAAGTACAGACCATAATTTATATCTATGTTATATTCTATTAATTTTAACACAATTTTAAATTATTTATTTAAATATTTTCATAATTATTTAAATTTTTTAAAATTGAGAGAGGGAGTAGATAATTAGATCATAAGGGTAAAATAATAAATTTAAATTTTTAACATAATTACAAATAAAAAAATTAAGTATTTTATAATTCTTAATAGAATATTTTTAATGGTGTTAACAATTAGATCAAAATGTAAGTTTTAAAAATAGAGGGAAGTCCTTGTAATTTAACCAAAATGAAAGAGAGGCTAATGCATTTTACTCTTAAAGTAATGTATAAATATTAAAAAAGTTAGACTAAAATACAGTAATCTCTTTTCCGTTTTACT